TAATAACAGTCTCTTGCCAGACAACCAGGGGTGAAATCCAGCAAGTTCTGACAGGTTCTGGAGAACTGGTAGAGGAAATTTTGAGCAGTTCGGAGAATATCACCTCTGGCTGGCCCCAGAGTGGGGTGGGAATGGAGATTTTGCAATATTGTTCCCCCAGGAGTGGGGATGGAATGGGGATTTTGCAGTATCCTTCCCCTGCCATGCCCACCAAGACACACCCACCAAGCCACACCACACCCACCAAGCCCCGCCCACAGAACTGGTAGTAAAAAAATTGGGATTTCACCACTGCAGACAACCTTGTAACCATTGCATTTAAAATACTTTGCAAGTAAAAATTCATAATTGCATTCATGAGCAATATTTGTGGAAAGTCAAGGAAAAAGAGAGTTCTTTGCTGCTTGGTAATGGTGGCAAGAATTAACCATTTGATCTCTTTTCTGAAATGTTAGGTCAATGAAAGTCTAATTTCATTGGACTTTCATATTCCAGGGGATACAGAGTTCAAAAGGTAACATGTATATTATGTTAAGAAAAAATAAACAAAACAGATAAAAACTGATATTTGTATACTGTATTGCACCTCTTATATTACTGAATTACTGAAATGAAATATATATATATATAAATATGGTTATTGTGGAAATGACAATAATGTTATTTCATAGTACTAAAGACATCTGTGACTTTTAACACCATCCAGCAATGGAACTTGCCTTTCCCAAATCTTGTGAAAAGACTCAATAGATGGATAAAAATGCCAAATCCAGTCTAAATACTTACTGTGTGACCAAGCATAATAGTATGTTGAAAGTTAATGGCATAAATCAGCAATACCAAATATATTGGACGGCATAAAATTTGCACATTGACAAAATTTCCATCTATCTACAAATTACCACATGGCTGAGATCTATATATATACTACATATATACTACAATAGCTTACAATATCCTACCTTCTTAGGAAGAACTCAATGTATATGAAGGCCAATACCAGCTAAAGGACTGGCAGCTGTGATTTCACATTGTTGTAGAATAATAATTTTCACATCTGTACTATCTTTGGATCTTAACAATTAATTTAATTGATTTTATAATATATGTAAATTGTGGTTTTATTGTATGCCACTCAGAATCACCATGTGTGTGATGGGCAGCCATATAAATTTGATAAATATATAAAATGATGAAATAGTTTTGGCATTGGCATTATAATGTGTGTGTATAGTTGTTTTATTGAAAGAATTTGATTTGCATAGATTACAGTTTCATGCAAACACTGTAATGAATTCTGGGATGTGGATTTTTGTAGTGTGGGCTATTTTCTAATTTTTAATTACCAGTAGCTGGTACAACTACAGCAAGGGTGGGTTCTACTTACCTTTACTACTGGTTTGCAGCGGGAGCGTGCACGCTTCTGCACATATGCAGAATCTTCTGTGCATGCACAGATCACCCATGATGATGTCGTGGCAGTTGGGCAGAGCTTCCCGCCGGTTTTACTACCGGTTCTATAGAAACCCACCACTGAACTACAGCTATGTAATCAATAGAACTAGAAGATGTTAATTGTGAAAAGTTGTAGAAAGTGAAAAAGATGGCACATTTATTTAACTCAGTTGATTCATGGACAGTACAATTGCCAAAATAATAAGCACACTGCAATTTATCTATTTGTGTGATGAAATGCAAAAATAATATGATAAAATCAGATTTGGGAGTTACTTTGCAGAGCATAGGATATTGCAGGAAATGAAGAATTTCCATGAATGTTATCATACTGTACATAATTTCAAAACTATTTGTTTTTATTTGCAGGACGTCTTAGAAAAGAAGTCTGATTTCAAGTTTATTGTTATCTGCTTACATGCTGCAAGGTAATTTGCATATATGAGAGTATGATCCTCCATTCTAACATGTTATCTGATAATCCAAATGGAAAATTAGGGACCCATTGTTCCCTAATTGGTCAACATCAGTGAAAATACCACACAAGATTATACACTAATCTTGCTCCCCAAATAGTAGAGAAATTCCTGCTCCCCAAATAGTAGAGTTGAAGGGTGGAAGACGTGTGAAACTTTGTTAATGATGACATCATGCCATCTTCTCGCTGCATGGTTAAGGGAAAGCAAATCATATTAAGATTCAGATAGGTACATATTACCAGGTATGTACATATTACATGTGCATAATAAAATATGAATTGTGATACTAGAAATGCCTCCCTCCCAAATATGGGGTTGATGGGTACATTGAAATCTATTATGTACATTTATGTAATAGATTTATATTGTATTTTATTAATATAATACATTTAGGATGATATAAGTGTAACCAGCAAAATAGAAGAGAAATTGAAAGGAAAATGTGGGTAAATATAAGATCGGGGTTGTTCGAATACCATCTTGATAAAATATTGAATTGAAAATGACACAACAACAGAGAGGGAAGGGAGAGAGGAGTAGAGGGACAGGTAGGAAGTAGAGAGGAGAAGGGAGGAAAAGAGAGAGAAAGGGAAAAGGAGAGGAAGAAAGGGAGAGGAAATAAGAGTAGGAGAGAGGGTTAGAAAAAGAGGAAGAGGGGAGGAGTGGGGGAAAGGAAGGGGAAGGAGAGGAGGGGAAGGAGAGGAGGAAAGAAGAAAGTTGAAAAGAATAGAAGAAGGGAGGAAAGGGTAAGACGGGAGAAGGAGAGGAATGTTGTTGTGGAAGAAGGGAATGGAATGGTAGAAGAGCAACTCTGAATATATTTTTAAGTTTTAGGATGGAGAATGAACCAATATGGAAACCAAAAGATAATATGTGTGATAAGAATGGTTAAAAAGATTTTACATTTATGCATGTTTTATGAGAAATAAAAATTAAAAACTTTTATAAAAAAAATCTATTATGAATGCTTAGCAACATGGCTGCCGCGTGGTTGAAATCGAAAAAAAAAGATTTACTATTCTTTGTTAACTGTTTAATCCATTTAACTCTCACTTCCCATAAATCGTTCCCTCTCGCACCTGCTTCATCTTTTTATTCTGAATCATTGCACACATTGCCAAATAAAGGGCACCTTTGTAGTTTGAAACATGCACATATCTACACACATGTACACCAATCATCCTTTATTTTCAACAAACATCAAGGGACTATTTATGACCAATGATAGTTTTGGAAGAGGCTGGGTGTTTGCAGTATGCCAATTTCTCCACCCCACCTTCTTTTTTAAAAATGGGGGGGGGGTTCCCCAGGGAGTCTAGTGACCAAGAGAAAAAAAGGGGGGAACCCAATATCCATGAACTTATTGCTACTGGGGTCAGTTACATCACTATTTCAGTCATATCAGGGGTAAGAGGATCATAATGGTCACAATCAGGGTATCTCTCTCTCTCCATCTATTAGATATCAGGACATAAATGCATATTTTATGAGAATGAAACAAAGTAATATTTTTTAACTTGCTAAATTATTGGTGGTTAAGGTACCATGTTAGAAACTTGGAGATTAGAACTTTTAGTCTGGCCTTAGGCAGCTGACCAGAGTCTCTGTGTCTCTGTCTCTGTCTCTGTCTCTCTGTGTATCTCTCTCTCTCTCACTCTGTCTCTGTCTCTCACTCTGTCTGTCTCTCTCTCTCTCTCTGTGTGTGTGTGTGTGTGTCTCTCTGTGTGTCTGTCTGTCTCTCTCTGTGTCTCTCTCTGTCTCTCCTAGCAAATCAATTGATTGCTGGGAAAGGAAATATTATATTAGGACAACTTAAAAATAGGGCTATGGGTAGAAAAAAAAAGCTTAGCACCATATTATGGTCATGGAAAAAGGTGCACTTCTATTGTAGTATCTCATTAAAGTTGTGTTTAGCCTTCTTAGTAATTTATTGTAATGTTTGAAAAAAGTTGTACTGGATTCCTCTGCTAAAAAAAGCAACCTTCTGGATTTTTTTCTTTCTTTCTCATTCCCTTCTTTTGGACCTTCCCTTTCCAGATGGCACATCTAACTTAAGCTTTCACCTTGCATGTTAGCCTTCACTGACCCAACTCTTGGCTTATATAACTGAAATGAATGTCACTACCTTCTGTATCTAGAGGTGGCAGAAGCATCTTGATTTTCAAACCAATGGAGCACATGATTGTGAAAGTTACCCTGCTCCTTATCATATATGCATCATGAATAATAATGGTAACATTTCAGGTATCCTTGAATCCTCCCTGAAAGTGTAGTACCTTTGCAGGGTGCATTTGAATTTGCACCATACAATTAGAGACATGCTTACGTTAGAAAGGTAAGAAAGTTATTAGGAGATTGGTTCAATGCAATGTTTTTCAGCCTTGGCAACTATAAGATGTGTAGACCTCAACTCTAAGTTTTCTGACTGAGGATTTCTGAAGTTTAAAGTCTATAATCTTAAAGTTGCCAAAGCAGAGAAACATTGGTGTAATATAAAGGATTGGATAACTTGGATGAATAGGCTCCTAACATGAACAATGATAAATATATATATATATCCTGTGGAGAAAAAAGTAACTGATGGAAACTGCCAACCATTATCTCTTGTTTCGCTATCCAGTTTAAATATTCTACCTCTTGATTTTTTTATCCATCCAATTGCTGAATATACAAATGTCCATTCTTGTAATGTTCTCCATTTTAATTGACTATGTTCATTCAAACCATTTTTGCCCTGCATATAGAGATAATGATTATTTTTCACTGACACTGGCAGCTTTTATGAGGCACAAAATCTGGATTAGATCAAGATACGAAACACCCCGAGTACGGTTTTTTTTTTAAAGGTAGTATAAATTCTAGGCATAGTGGTTGACTGTTGTGAGGCCAGTGTTTAATTTAGAAGATACTGTACATCATCCTAAAAAAGTTCTGCATAGTGATTCTTTATCATAAATAGAATTGTGTGTTGCAGTTGAAATATAATAAGCACAGTTACTCTCTTTTCCGTTCTCATGATTTGTATGGCAAAAGGAAACAAAAATATTCTTTCATTTCAATTTAGGCTTGTGAAGATTACATCAAGTCAAACTTTTATTAGCAAAGTTGAAATTCATGTAGAATGAAAATATTTTTTAAAAAACCATACATATACATAGGCATGATACAAACAGCAAACTACATACAAACACATTTTTCTAAGCCTTAAGAAATTTTCATGGACATTCATTTCAAAAAGGAATAGCCAGAACCTAGTACTCATGTCCCATGTTTTTTTTTCTTCTTCTTCCATGAAGTAACATTTTAAAAAATGCTTTGGCTCTGACCAATTCTGTGCAAAAGCTGAAATTTATGTAAGATTACAAAGATGAATACTTGATAGGTTATGAATGGTGCTAACATGTAAACAAGCTATTTAAGATTTGGAAAGGCAGATTAACAGGACAGTGGTATGCATGCTTAATAAGGAGTAAGTCCCACTTATTAAGTAGAGTTTGGTAGGACTGACATTTTTAAATTAAATATTTAATTTGGAAGGAGGGAAGGGTTTGATGTTCTGATTAGCAAACACTGGCTCTTCTGCTAAATCGATAGAAGTTTTATCAGCACAAGAATAGATTTTCCCTGTATTATATATCTTATTTTTGTCTAATTTAATGAAAGGGATCAAGAATCTCATCCCCAATTGTTTAAACTCAATTAAATGAACATATTTCCTTCCATGTAGAGTATACAACATTTGAAGCATATTATTCAAATGTGTTATGAGAAATGCAACAAAAAAAATTGCAGTTTAAATACCAGATCTGTGGAATATCAGATTATGTGGAAGCTAAACATTATTCCAACCTAAAACCATAGCTGTGATCTGGTACACCATGCCACAAACTGAAGAAGGATACCAGAATAACAGAGTTGGAAGGGACTTAGAGGTCTTCTAGTCCAATCCCCTGCTCAGACAAGAAATCCTATACCATGAGGTTTAGGATGGAGAAGAGTACAGGAGATGGTCAAGTTCTGAGCACCTGCTAGTTCCTTGCAAAGAAAATTGAATTGACTGAAATGATTTGCAGCAATATTCACATATTATTTGTCCCTTAAATGAGACTCGGATTGATCTGGTGTTATATGTAAATTTGGCAACTTCATTCACAAATCTGTATTAGGTTAGACCAACCTAATATACCTTGGCAACTTGAAGATGTGTCAACTTCAACTCTCAGAATTCTCAATCCAGCCATGAAGTCCACACGTCTTCAAGTTGCCCAGGTTGAGAAAGTCTAGGTTAGACTAACAAATCAATGTCAGTGCAAATAGTGGAAACTGAACACGCAGCTGGTTGCTCTTTCCTTTAGATAGTGAACAGATCGCTGAATGAGAAGATTCAATGCCATGAATGAGAAATGTCACAAGGGACTGATAGGAGGCACTGAGAGCTATTAATATAGCTACTATTTCATCACCATGCAGTTATATAACTTTATAGAAAGTGGAAGTGTCCAGGGTGGGCCTAGACCACCTCTGACATTTGGGGATGTAGTAGAAGGCTCATCCCACCTCTAGTTTGCCATAGTGCTTTAGTTCCTGTTTTACCCTTAGGTTCTCCTGCAATCTGCAGTCATACTAACCCAAAGTTTTTAGGTTACCACTAGTATGATTGACAGCATACTCTTGTCTCCTTGACAAATTGCTCCTCTTTTTTTTCTCTCTGTCTTCTAATCATTTCTCAGAGCTGTCATTGTAACTTTCAAATAATTTCTTCTATCTGCCATCTGTCTACTGAAACACGATCAAAATTACATGAAATAGGATTTCCTCCCTGGTAAGTTTACAGAGTTGTAGACATAGAACTTATCTATTAGATCTTCTGGTGACATATTTCACATGCTTCCTACAGTCTTTGAAATGATTCTCTTTAATTGATTACAAGTTCAGAGGTCAGTGCAGATTGTTGATAGACAGCAGCAGCTAGTCATATTTTCTGCTATGCCAGGAAATACCTGGTTGTGTATAGTATCAACAATCGTAACTTGATCATTTTGGCTGTAAACTAGATATAATTGAATTTACTTTGACCTTTTTTTCTTTAACAGATCCTTCTTCAGAGGTATCTCAAGAAATCATTTGAACTTGAGGAAACTAGAATGTGAGTTCAAATTCCTGATAGACAATTTATCAACTCAGTTTATAAAGTGGCAAATATTATTAGACTTTTTCTGCTCCACATTGACAAAAAGCTTTGGCACTATTCCCATTTTTATGATCATATTGCTGTCTAAAATTCGCATTAATGGAAAAATGGAGCATCTCTGCTGAAATAAAAATACATATCCTGGTGTGAACAATTAAATTTATAATATAAACTTTTTTCACCTCTCTCTCCAAAAACAACAATGTAACTAATTACTTCTGGAGGAATATGCAGATATTTTATGTTGGAAGCGATCAGTTCAAAGATGATGTTCCTTTTGGGATAAAACCATTAATGTCTCAGGATCATCTAATTTAGAATCCAATGCAGACTTTAAAATCTAGATTGTATTTTTCAATGCACGGTTTAAAAGTTGGGAGCTGTCATATCAACTCTACTACATCTTCTGAAGGAGAAATTGCTATAGGTAAAAGAAATTTAGTGATAAATAAGAGAGAATGCTGTAGATCTGTCAGAAAGCAGTTCTTTCACAGGTTCATAGATACTTTCAGGTGTTGAGTATCACAATGTCCTCAGTGGTCTTTGTTCTAGTGTAGATGTTGGTGTGTGTTTTTGTGTCTCTCTCTGTGTGTATCAATCAACATTGTTTCTTAAGAAGACACTTTTCTTCAGAAATCCTTCATGCTGAATCTAAAGATTCACTAGTAGATTTTCACAGTCCACTGGAATAACATCTCCTCAGACTATGAAACATTAAACATCTAATATTCATGTACATCTAAATTAGACAAATAGCCCATTATCACATAATAGGGGGGAAAATGCAAGGTAGCTGCAATACTTCTGATTTGGCACAAAAAGTCATATTTTGTCTTCCTCACAATTTAGAAGAAATTCTATTGATTTTTTTTTTTAAAAAAAATGGTTGCCTATGGAGCTATCAGGAACAAAAATCTCTCCATGATGACTAGTTGACTACCTACATTGAACTGTTCATTCCCCTTCTTTAATTCTCAGTTCATTCAGGAACACTCATTATATGATGATTTCCTAGGCTGGACTTTATAAAAGAAATGGAGAGATAGTGTGATTCAAGGAATAAAAATCTGGTCAATTTTGTCAACAAATCTCCACATAAAGCAAGGACTTATTTTAAAGGAGGATTGTCCTACTAGCAAATTGTGACACTGCTGATTCAATTATTTGCACACACACAAAAAAGTGCAAAGGAAGAAACCTTCAGAAGTACTCTTCAAATGAGATGTTCTAGATCAGCATGTGCTAGCTGAGGAATTCTGGGAGTTGAAGTCCACAAGTCGTAAAGTTGCCAAGGTTGGAGACTCCTGTTCTAGGTCATCTTTCTTTGGCGTTTTTATCCCTTTTGAATGGAAATGTCAGGAAGGTATAAAAACAACAGTTGAAGAAAAGAGACTGAAGAAGGATGCCCAAGTTTGTCAGTCTCCAGTGCCAACTCTGACTCAAAGGAGAGTTGGTCTTTCTTTTAGCAGCTTTTTTTTTTAAAAAAAAAAAAGGTAAGAAAATTATATTTCAAATAGAGTTGGAGCTGAATATTGAGGAGGAAAAATGTTCCCTGCCCATGGCTTCTTGAAATCCTGCCTCCCCATCCCCCCCAAGACTGAAATCATGCCATCAAACTTTGGAAGCTAAATGGCTAATTTTAGTGGGGTTTGGGAAGATGGAAGGTGATAATAGGACTGCTTTGTCTCCGAGAAGTACTTATACCTATTACTACCAAAGCCCCAAAGGGAAGAAAACAAGTTCCTTTGATATATGTCAAGTTTATACAGCTTATAAAAGACTGTATTAGCACCTAACCACTTGAACAGTGGTATCTTGCCTAGCAGCCATTAGTATGGACTAAGATGTGAAATTATCTTTTTACACAGTGCTGGGTCCAAATGCTGCAATAAGTAATTAGGACTCTGATGAGCAGACAATGGTTACTTTCTATATAACATGCTGTTTGACAAAATGTCCTAGCCAAAATGAATGGATCTGAGCTGAAGATCAGTGCTTGCATCCTTGTTATCTGGGGTTGGGAAAAAGGAACATTGAATAATGTAAATAATAGATAACCTGCATGTCTCAAAATTAACAAAATGGGCATATGAAAACCTACCAAGATAAGAAAGAGAACTGAGTAACAAGGCAAATAACATATCATAACAAAATGGGGAAGCATATTATTCCAAGATAGTTTTGCATACAATAGTATCTATATTGTTATAATGAATATGTCTTCCTTCCTATAATGTACACCAGAAAAGTTTAAACTTTGGGTAGCAACTCTATTATACACTCAAAGGGACCAAAAAAGCATTGATAGAAACCCTTTTCAATAATTACATTTGTTTTGATTTAACAAGTGAGACACCAATATTCATAGTTGAAGATTCAGAAATGTTTCTGAATACGCTTCACTTGGAAAAATGAATAGTATCCACATAAATGTAACTTCCTGGGAAGAATTAAATTGCCACCAAGTTCCATAATGTAATGACAAGCTGCCATTACACCTTGACAAAATAAAAATTAGCATGACTTCCCCTGAAAGTATCAGTATAAACTTAATATATACAAATATTTGGAAAAGGTATGTGGGCATTCAAATATGAAGTGGTGAAAAATCCTATTTCCTTTAAAAGCCAGCTCTTTCCTGATTTTTTTTTTTTTTTCCTTTTTTGGATTGAGTAAAACTCCATGATTTTTAAAGAGCCATATACAGGTATTTTCTATAACCCAAAGAAAGTTTTGAATTTGCTTGCATAAAGAAAGGGTGCCAGCTAGTGGGCAAAATATAAAATATCATCTAACTGTACTACATTTGAAGGCCTTGCTATCTGCACAGAATACAAATTCTCATATCACTGGCACATTTTCCATATCTTTTCAAAATAAGACATATCGTGGAGTGCACTCTTTGCACTATTATCACTAGCTAATGTTTTTGTTGCTGCTACCCAGTTTTTGCCTGGAAGAGATCCCTGTAACACCGAAAAGATGGGATTCCTATGAAATGAGGTTTGAAACATACACAGAGAAGCAGAAACATGTAAGAAAGTGGAAACGCTAACCTAGGGCCCATTGCTACTAGTTACAACATAACAAGAATGTAGTACAGAATGTAGTACATGCAGTAGAATATATCACACTGTCTGTTATTCCCAAACAGAAAGATAATGTACTATTATCGCTGACTAAGCACACCAGCAAAAAATGACCATTGGCAGACATGATGCGTTGGCTTAGCATTGTATCCTTGTGCAACACAGAACTGACCAAGAAAAAGGATACTGTAGAGACATAAGGAACTACTTGGCTTTTGAAGCTTTCCAGCACCATTGGCCAGCACAGTGTCAGTCATGCCAGCATAACCTTCTTGCCATAATATTTGGTTATAACTTTCTACAGCCTGCCAGACCCAAATCAAAGACAGAGTTGTAGCAGTTTACTCATTTAATGTCAACTCTTTGACTGCTGTTCCAGTTAAGAGATATTTATAAAACTGGGTTGTAAAAGACCTGGAGGAAATTAGATCCCAAAATACATTTATAACACTGAAGAAGGTATGGTTTTGGTCAGACTAAATGACATGTGTATGATGAAACTTTAGTTCGGAGTCATTTTTTCTTTTTTTTAATGAATTGAAAATGTCCATGTCTTGAAAAAAGAGTTAAGAGTTTCCAAAAATCAGCTTTTTAAGTCATCTGCCTGCTTCTGTACCTGCTGCATGTCCAGGTCTTTAACTTTTCTGCAGCCTATTTCTGCCTTGTATAATATTTGATGAGAAGTAAAGATAAATACGATGATCTGAAATGAATAATTCATGCTTAATATTTTATGCATGGAGAGGAAAGGTTGCTGTGGAACTCCCAATGCTTTCAACCGAGGCTTTTTCTTTACATCCAGCGTAAGCACCAATAAACGAGCCGTCTTCGTTGAACATCCTGTGGTCCCCCTCTCCGTAATCCACTAAACTATCAGCACTTTCGGCACCTTTAATGTCCATGTTAAGAGATCGCAAGCTTCCTTTGAGCGGCTTTTCATCGCTGTCACTGAAAGAGGGAAAAACACTTGTGAGGAGTAGAAGGGCACATTCTGAGAAAATTAAGAAAAAGAGACTGGAAATTCTATTTAGGGACGACATTTGATTCTAAGCCAATTACTACCTTGGAGTGAGAGGCTCCAGAGATTTTAGGACTTCTGATAGAAGTACTTCCACAGTGAAAATATATAATATTCCAAAACATTTGATACTAAGCCAATTACCATCTTGGAGTGGGAGGCTCAGAAGTTTTAGAGCAGAGGTCTTCAAACTTGGCAGCATAGCTGGCTGGAGAATTCTGGAAGTTGAAGTCCACAAGTCTTAAAGCTGCCAAGTTTGAAGACCTCTGTTTTAGAGCTTCTGATAGCCATATTGACAGGAACAAAATCTCCTAGCAGTTCAGTAAGCCTACTAGTAGAGTTGGAAGGGGAAAAATCAAAGTAACAGGAAAATACTCCAGCAAAGTATTTTTTTTTTAAAGATGGTAAATGGTTTACTCAATGGCAAATGCAGTTCAATTAAATACCTATAAAGTGATGCATACTGGGACCAAATCCCTTGCTTCATATATATATAGTAATAAGAGTTTTAAAACTTGGTTTGGTTGGCTCCATTCTGTTCAGTTTTTGGAAAGTCTTGAAGACTTGACTGTTTTTTTTCAGGTAGGGGGCCAAGGGAGTAATTAAGCTCACATTTCTGGTGAGTGGTGTTTTGATGTTTGTTAGCTGAGAATACACATAATTGAGGCCAATATGAAAGTGACGGGGCATGTTTTTCTCCCTGCTTCAAAGCAACCACACTGGAATCACACAATGAATCTGACTGGAAAAAGATTTAGATCAAACAAAAGGCCGCACTTTTTCATACAGTGGTTGATTAAAGTGTAGATGGGTTACATTCAAATCTTGGATGGGTCTAAAAAGGGGGTTGAATAAATTCATGGAGGATACATCTATAAACAGTTTAATATTACTTTTAGGTCGGGGTGGAAATAGCAATGGGAAAATATTATTTATATCTATCTTGTTTAAAATATACTTTTCCATTTATTTGCTTCACTTCTGAAATGAATTACATGGTGTAAATTACAGATTTAAAGGCAAAGAGCGGGTAATTCTTTTCCAAATTTGAAGACATCCATTGCGAGCAAGTATATGTAGTATAGTCTACTGGCAAATGTTGTAGCAAAAGCTTGCATTATGCTAATTTCATTTATTGGAGGAACTTCTACAAACAGATTAGTAGGGATCAGGAGTGAGAGAGAAATTCATTCCATTTGGATTTCAGGGTACTCTTACAAATTCAATCTCTGATATAAATTAATTCACACTTCTCTCAGTGTGGAATATATTAGAGAAAGGATGCACAAAAATATGCACATTATTGTACAAAAAAAACCAGGTATGAAAATAGGAATAACTTGCAATATCTAATCACCAAAAAGAAACTGTTTTTTTCCCCCAAACATAATTTAGAGTTTCCCCCCTTTTCAGATGATTTTTTTACAGGTGGGAATGAGAATGAAAGTTTCTAGGAAGCAATCCCAAACTTTTAAAAATGGCTTCAACCTTGAACTTCAGACAAGTAATTTCATACCACTTTATGGGTTATTAGCATCTGGGGGGGGGGATATCTAGGAGCCATGGTGGTGCAGTGGTTAGAATGCAGCAGTATTGCAGCTAATTCAGCTCACTGCCAGGAGTTTGATCTTCACCGGCTCAAGGTTGATTCAACCTTTCATCCTTCCAAGATTAGTAAAATGAGGACCCAGATTGTTGGGGGCAGTATCCTGATTTTGTAAACCACTTAGAGAGGGCTGTAAAGCACTATGAAGTGGTATATTAGTCTAATAGCTATTGCTATCTATGTCCAAATATATCTCACATACACATATTATAATATTATTATTGAAACTGACTAAGGACCCAGAAAGATGTTTGAGAAATATGGGGAAATGTTTTGAAATTGTTTTGTTTATAACATATTTCCAGTCAAAAAGGATATTTCATTTGTTTCATATTTGGAGTACATTGATTATATAGTTCTATATGAATTATTTCTGCATTTTCAGAAAAATAATGCCTGTATGTGTGTGGGTGCCATTACACTCCAGATTAGATGACCAATCTGACTATTTAATGAAACAACTGCCTAAGAATTTATTCTTATTTTACCAAAATATTTATAAAACCATTCACAAGAAACTAATAAAAATGGAATGCATTCCACTAAAATGTTCTATATAATATTTCTTATCATCCCCTTGAAATTTCATTTGGCAATGGGAAAGTATTGCTGCTTGTAATATTATTAGAACATCTTACAAGATCATTATCTACCCCAAACATTGCAATGAAGGATATGTCTCACTAACCTATATTCACCAAAGATTTCATCTTTTATGGACTGGCCTTCAGGATCTGGATGCAGGTCCTCTTTTTCTTTTACTGCACATACATAAAAAGTTGCTTGTTCAGATATTTTTAGGCATTTGCTTTCATGTAATAGGAAACAAAGAACTCCACTTAAAATTAGTTATCTTATTGTATGACCATCTTTTAAAAGAGGTGCAATGATTCAGTGGTTTAATGATGTTGGAGATGGTCTCAGCTCCAGCAGTTCAAGACCAAGCACTGTGTGGCAGAGTGAACTCCTGTCATTCACATCAGCTTCTGTCCATCTAAGAGTTTGAAAGCATGTTCTATACAAATAGATAGATAGGTAGCAGCAGGGGTGGACTGTTGGGGGTTTGCAGGGGTTTGTGAGAACCTTTAGCTAAGATTTTGTGCAATTTGGAGAACCCCCAAATCCCACTCCTGGCTGGCCCCACCCACCCCGCCCCTCCCAGGAGTCCCCACACGGCCCGTTTTGGATGCAGGTAAGTGCAGGGCATGCGCGGAGGCTCGGGGAGGGCGAAGAATGGGCCTACTGGAAGTTCAGAAAGGCCAGAAATGGGCCTGTTTCTGGCCTTCAGAGAGCCTCTGGAGCCTGGGGAGGCCATTTTTGCCCTTCCAGAGGCTCAAGAGTCCAGGGAGGGAAAAAACACCCCCCACCATGGTGCAGGAGGCCAAATAGGCAACTCCCACCATGCCATGTCCACCCAGCGACTGGGCAGAGAATATCTTGCTAAAATTTATGAAGCCCACCCCTGGGTAGCAGTTTGGTGGGGAAACGAGCTGGTGCTCTGTGCAGGCAGTCAGATTCCTGATGGCTCTGAACCTTCCCGATTGCACTGCTATTTTCAAGCAGCTCCGGGAAGGGAGGAGATCTTGGGTAACACTGTAGGAAGAGCCGCTCGTCTTTCTCTCTGGTGCAAAGTCAGCTCATCTCCCGTGGCACACCTTGGGAAGCATGCAAGCATGTCCTATAACAGGGTTGGTTGCCAAACTACTATTCTGCAATAGCACTGTGGTCTCCTGACTCTGTAACAACATCATATGATAACAACAACAACACAACCATCGTTTAAAGCTCTTGTACTAACAGAATAACAGAGTTGGAAGAAATGTAAGAGGTCATCTAGTCCAACCTCCTGCTTAAGCAGGAGATCCTGTACATTTCTGACAAATGGCTTGAAAGCCTCCAGTAATGGGAAATCCACAACTTCTGAAGGCAAGCTGATTGGCTGATTGCTCTTATAGTCAGAAAATTTCTCCTTATTTCTAGGTTGAATCTCTCCTTCATTAGTTTCCATCCATTTTTGGGGGGGGGGGGGTCTGACCTTCTCTCTGTTAGAGCTCCTCAAATATTGGAATGCTGCTATTATGTCACCCCTGATCCTTCCCTTCACTAGACTAGCCATGCCCAGTTCCTGCAACCATTCTTCATATGTGTGAGCCTCCAGGCCCCTCATCATTTTTGTTGCCAGTGCTGAATTATTCACAATAGTATCATGTGGTTAATACCTCTAATTGAATTGCAATTGATTAACTTAGTTTGATAAAGCTAAATCACTTGGCGGTGTAATCCCAGTTTCCTAAATTATGTAAATTTTGGAAACAAATTAGCCAATGTGATTTGCTGTTGTTGTTTTTTTTTAAATTACAACTGCCTTATCTGTGGCAAACCTGCTGAATAGCACCCCTGAAGTAAATCCTAAATTTAAAATGATGAAAGAGAAAGTGACAGCTTTCTTTACAGGATCTTTATTTTTCAAAAATAGAAGTTCTGACTATGCAGTGTGCATTTTTGTTCATTTATAATGCTATTCTCAAAGATGCCATGGTGAAGGCATCACCTTACTGGCTATTAAGGCAATTAGCTGACACTATCAATTAGAAACTTCTGAGTTGTGTGTGTCTTTCTGGAGACTTCTTCCATTTTTCTTTTCAAGTATGGCTCTATTTTAGAAAGGATTCTGTTTTCTTTCAGCCGATTCTAACTTAAAACAGAATTGGTAGTCTTGTCATTTCTATGCTACTTCACTGCATTTTCCCCATGCAAAGAAGCTTTTTTTTATCTTCATAAGGAATAGCAAGAGGTAATTTTTGGAAGCTCCCAAAGGTCTGTTATCAGCTGTTGATAACATGGGGAACATCATTGGTTGCTGTGGATCACGGGGTTTATGTAACTTTCCGACCTCCAAGGAGACTTAAAACTCTAATTTGGTGATAACCTGGGAAAGGCTTGTACATCATTAGAAAAGTATATTCGATTTGGAGAACACACATTTTCTTACCTGAATATTTTCCTCCTTTGTTCCTTTTAACAAAGCAGATAGTAAGCAACAGTAAGGTAAGCAAAGCGACGGCACCCATCAGTCCAATAAACCAACCTTGTGTAGAGATTCGTTCATAAATTCCAGTGTAAGCTTTGAATGGAAAACATATACATATATGGAGGTATAAGAAAATAAAAATAAAAGTTTGGTGTTTTAAAGAACGTTTTAGAACGTTTAGATTATCAGGGACTAGCAATCTGCATTGGGGGAGGGGGTTGACTATATTAATATCAAGTCTGGAAGACACGTTATTAAGATTTAGAACATTTCATTGCAGATTTTAATTAAGCAAACAGGAATACAGCACTTAAACCAGGTTGTCATGCAAAAGTAAGAAATAGAGGGTTAAAAAGTGTATAGAATAGAGGCAAATGCATAGCTTACTGCGTATAAAATGGAAGAAGAAAGGGACTGGCAAGGTAATTAATATCTAAGTAATACCAACTCGCCTTTCTGAACTGGTTTCATTTTTGCTTTGGAAGCTGAATTTTAAATTTCGATTATAGAGCAAAAATGGAGAGATATCTCGGTATCAGGCTCACCTATAATAGCTCAAGTTCTGCAGGAGATTATGCAAAAAAGCAGTTTCTTAACAGGAGCTTCCAATGCAGAGAAAGTGGGGAATTTTGAAGAGCAATGTGCCAATGTCCTAATGGGACATCAGCAGCATAATCCCAGAAATAGAAGGAATGTGTCTAGGATAAAGAACTAGCCAAGCACAAAGAAAAAGGGCAGATTTGTGAGCTGCAACTTCCACTGATATGGGATAATGCTTAAAGCCAAAGACTTTCAAGCTGCCTCTTTGGAGAAAAATGAAAACCTGTTTAGAAATCTGACATATTGTCTGATATCCACCTTTCACTCCAGAATTGTATTGGGAAAATATTTTCCCTCTTTTTATTATTTTAATCTCCCACAAAATTTTAATTTTGGCCAACAGCACTTGCAGAAACTAAGAACACAACATATTCCTGGCATGCAAACATTATTTGCACAATGGTTTTCTGTTTTCAACGGTAAAATTCTGGAACAACTTTATGCCAACTTATCTAAGAGTTATTACACTTGGATTGCAAAAATTTAAATAAAACTTCAGACAATTATACAGAAAATTAACTCTTTGCTGCCATCCAGTGGTTTTATTAAGTTCTGCAGTCCAAGCATAAAGTAGTCCTAATTACCGGTACTCTTTATTTTTTCTGCATATATGGATTTGGAATTATTAATGGAAACTTGCTACTGAACGTAAACCAGAAAACTTGTGGTGGGTGAGATGGGTCTGATTACTTTAACACTAACATTTATTGCAAAGATAATTTGCAATTGTCAGTTTAACATTCAAAATATTAAGAGAAGTCTACATTTCCTGTACCAGATTTGCCCCAGCAGTACTTCTGAAAATTGTGGTGTTTGAGGATTATGAACTGGAAAACTACCTTTTTTTTCTGTTGAAATCAACAAGAAAAATCAAATTATAATAGGTGCAGTAAGTTCTGAATATATAACTGTTTCATGTTACAATTGTGCAATATATAATCTTAATATGCAGTTGCTAAAGTTTTGTTTTTGTGAGACTCATGGTCATCTTAGAGGCCTTAAGAATTTCTCACCTCTCCCCCTGGTCTCAATTACATCTGCAGAAATGCTATTATTATCAACCCAATTCTTAGTCATTAGTCGAATTGTATTTGCAGTTCCAGGATCAAGTGCCTCAACAGGCTGACTCTTTGGGGTGGGCTTAACTTCAGTAATCTTCCCGACAGCTTTACCTATGGAATGCACAGAGTCAAGTCAAATAGGGGAATTGGGTGAGGGCCTCAGGATATAAAATTACAGAATCAGTACCAGTTAATATTAATAGGTTGAGCATTTATCCTTAGAGAATTTTGCAATTATGACAAAGAATCATTTAGGGTAATGATCATATGACACATTAATATTCATATAATGTATGTTCTAAATTGTATTTATTGTACATTTATAATACTGGATAATTTAGCCTAGTTTCTAAAAATTCAAGGAGAGCACCTTGAATTTAATAACAAATTCACTGATTTATTAATTTTAATTAAATATCCAAATAAATAAATTATGTTTATATAAATAAATGGAAAATTTAATGTTGCACAGAATTTCAATAAAACAGTTACATTTAAATCTATATTCTAGTGAATAAATGCTAGAATATGCATTTTTTCCTTTAAAAACTCAACTATCCAAATTGTTCCAACTTTGTTGAAATAAAAAAAAAACAGATCAAATGATTGATATAGAATTACCACCAAAATCAAATCTATAATTGAGTATTATAAAATATTTTACAGGAAAGAAGTCAAATTAACATAATTGTATGATAGTGCTTTACTGAAATATATATTATATTATATTATATTATATTATATTATATTATATTATATTAATTATATTATAATATTATATTATATTATATTATATTATATTATATTATATTTATATTATATTATATTAATATTATATTATATTATATTATATTATATTATATTATATTATATTATTATAAATTAGAATTAAAATGTTATAAGGTTTGGTTCATCTTAGTAAACTGAACTAAAATTCTCTATTAAAACAAATAATGAGTCAGAAATCCTTCTAATAAAATTATCATCATTTGAACAAAGGCAAGTGTCTTCTGGGTTCTTAAGACTAAGGTAACCTTTTATAGCAGAGTTCATAACTGAGGGTCCTTGGTGCTCTCTGAACTTGCTTGTTTTCTTGCAGAAGCTCTATTACCCAAACTAGGTAACATCATCAGTGCTTGATGTTACCTAGTTTTGGTAATGAAACATCTGCAAGAAAACAAAGAAGCTCAGAGAGCACCAAGAACCCCTTGTGTCAACCTTGGACTATAAATATTCTTCTTTATTAGAGTACATAATTGAAATTTCAGGACTACATTTCATCCTAGGGCCGTGATGGTGAACCTATGGCATGCATGCCTGAAGTGGCACACAGAGCCATGTCACCTGGCACACGCGGGATCACCCATTCCTCTTCTGGGTTTCTGGCGTGCATGCATGCATGACAATCAGCTGGCCTTTTTGCATGCGGCAGTGCCGGAAACTAGAAGAGCTGGTCTTCCGTTTTCCTGTGTGAGCATGCTGGCCGGCCAGCTGATCGTCATGTGTGCATGTCTGCAATAAACCAGGAAGAGTAGCTGCCTGAAACCAGAAGTTCAGTAGCTGAAACTGGAAGTTCATTTTTGGGTGTGCACATGCGCCCTGGGCAGCTCCTCTTCCAGGCGTGTGCACGGACGCTCCCTTTTCGGACTTGGTGCCAAAAAGATTCGCCATCACTGGCCTAGGGCATGACTAAAAGCCCTTCAAAAATTGTCTTATTAATATGGAGGAAAAGGAAAATGCAAGAATTTTTTTTCATTTAATTTGATACAAATTAGATTCTAATGTAATGTAAATTAAATCAAATTCTTTTTCTTAACCTTGCCTACATTTTTGCCTTGGTTACATCTCCTGCTGTCTGGTCCCGATACACTGTTCAAAGATGGAACACAGTCATCAATCCAAGAAGCATTGGGAACCTTGGATTTATGTCATAATATATTCATTAATTTTTAAAGTATTATAAGCCACTTTCTGCTTTCTGCTCTAACAGAGTACTGGTTACCTCACTAAATAATTATTTTACTTCTGTTTCATGAATCAAATGAAAAGCGATGATGTAATTTTATTCTTTCGATTCTTTTAATCTATTTTATACTATATTGAGATAGTATAATTCTTTAAGAAGAAACAAAAAAGATGAATATTTAAATCCTAGATAGGAAACCTGAATATTATTTAACTCTTTAATCTTCTCTTAAATAAGATTTCCAAAATATTTTAAGTATTCTTTTTTTAAGTAATAATTTATTATGCTTTATTTGCGCAGTCTATTTAATATTACAACTTGAAGTACAATGTATCTATCATAAGAGATAGTTATTAGTTCATAGACATAGTGGAGCTTGCAAACTCTTAGATAATTTGCATGTGCAATGCAGAAGCAATTATTTATTAGTTCTGGAATAAGCAAGCAAGCAAATAGCAGCTTCAAGAGATTAACACTCAGAAGATAACTGAAAGGGAAAAAGAGAAAAGATTAAAAATGGTTGGATATAGACAAAAACAGCAAAATATGACAAGGTTTTTCCAAAACAATTATTTATCAATTACAGCCTGTGCTTTAATTATAATAGTGCCAGAGAGAATTAAAGGGAATACCGTATGTTGATGGGTGCATTAAACCAACATTTGATGAGAAGGGTTTAACATAATTAAAACTATCTGGCAGAATTGATATTGCTAAATTAATTCCATGAAGCCGAAACTACATTTTCTAATCAAACTACAAATTAAACAGCAGGTCATTACAAGTTATATTTTTCCCTTAAATGCACAAAGTAGTACACTTAACATAAATGTTTTCTGAAAGGTAACAAGGGAAAAATATATTATGTCAATTTCTGTCATTTCAAATAATCCAAACTATTTAAAGCTGTCAGATACACAGGATTGCAAATTGAAAGGAACAGGAGGCTCCCTTCAATTCTGAAACCACTGTGTCAGGCATATTTCAGCTGCTGAAATACCTGCAAATTAAGCATGTTCCATCAATAGGTTTAGATGTCAAGTTTCAACAGGCATTTCTAATAACAATGTTTCTGTTATAACATTCCTTACAGATGTTCAAAGCATTTTGACCTTGAAACATTTTTACTCTTTTCTGCAATTCAAGATAGTTTCATAGTCAAGGTAAAATGGACTGTTTTGTTTCAATCTTAGAACCAATGCTACAGATTTAGAAGATTGCTATTTCAATTTTTTCTTACTGGCCTAAACACTAAGATTGAGCAATGGTTGTCTTTTTATGATTGAGTAACTTTTAATCTGTTGAGATGTTTTCTAGTTTAGCCATTATAGCAGAGATTCTACTGATGTTGAGAAGCTGATGTGGAGATGAAGGAAACTGGGAAGAGCAGCTAATCCTCAATGATACTGGCAGTTGGGGCTTAGTTGTTGCTGCTACAGGGGTGCCCAGTAGGCCCTGTGGGTGCATGAGGGAACAAGGAACAGTCAAAGAGGGAGCATAAGGTTGCAAGAACACTTCATGAAGGTGCAGTGTAGATTAGGGATGTGCACCGAGGTGTAAGGGTGTGAAGGACTCACAGTGATGGTCAAGATATGAGTGGCTGGTGTGGCACAAGCACAGAAGGACATACCCTAGTGATTTGTGACCTTCCTTACCAGCTTCCCAATTGACTTTCTGGGAAGCCAGGAGAGAAGGTTACAAATGGAGATAACATAGCCGCAGATCACTGCAATTGGTTGTTAAATGTGAAGTGGTTGCCAAATACCCAGATCATGAGTACGTGATCATGGGGTGCTAGGATTCCTGGATCTTCAAGGGCATTTTTTCAGTGCTGTCTTAATTTGCTGAATGCATGAACATAAGTCAAGGGCTACCTGTAGAACAGGGGGCCAAGCTCAAGGCCCATGGGCCAGATCCAGCCTGCAGGGTGCTTAAATCTGGTCCATGGGGTGGGCCTGGAAATAGCAAAGGACCGGCCTATGGTGCCTCTGGGAGCCAAAACCTGCATGCCCCCCCACACCCCATTTTGGCCGGCAAAGTCCTGCAGGAGGCGTCCGTCTCATCTCCCCCCCCTCCTGGCTGGTCCATGGAGGAGAACAACAGTGCTGATCTGGCCATCGAAGAAATTCAGTTTGACACCCCTGCAGTAGAAGATATCTTATATCTGCATACCTGGCAGTTATTGCTTTTTCTTTCTCTCTTTTTTTTTTTTAAGGCTTCACTACAGATCTGGAAATCTAAAAACTGTTTTCCCAGTGCATGAAAATCTAAAGCCTACTGGTGTGATGTTGCAAGCTATTATCCGCATGCTCTTATAATTAGTTTGCAAAAAAGTATTTTGATTATGGAACATTTGCTGAGCTTTAGTAAGGCATGTACATTTTGTACATTTTAATTTTTTTTTTACCTTGTTGATGTTGAATTTTCAAGAAACAAATATTGTGATGCTTTGGGATGCATTTGTGTATTTGCATGCTGCATAATATTTATGCTATTATATTCCAGCAAACCTCTTTTGCAGGTTTGGAGGAGAACCCATCATCCATCCATCCATCCATCCATCCATCCATCCATCCATTATCTTTCTATCTATCTATCTATCTATCTATCTATCTATCTATCTATCTATCTATCTATCTATCTATCATCCATCCATCCATCCATCCATCATCATCTACTATTCTATCTATCTATCTATCTATCTATCTATCTATCTATCTATCTATCTTTCATCTATCCAACTATCCATCTACCATCCATCAGTGTCAGTGAAGTACTTGGTTTGAAATGTCTCAAAAAAAAAAAAAAAAGCCACAATGAATTGAGTTTTCCCTGCCTCACTTTTACTAAAGTCATAATGAAGTCAAACAAAAAGCAAATAAAAGGATATCATAAAGCTGTTTAAAGACTTAATAAAATAGAAATGAGTATGCTGCATCACAGATATCCAATTAATATTAACTGCTGGATAAGGAGATTTTGATACAGGTTTTGGATTTTTACAAAAAAAAATTCACATTAATATTCAGACATATTTCCCTCTGTAAGATCTCTGCAAAGATTTGGTTAGATAGAAATCCACTAAGGATAGTCTGGGAGTTCATTTTAGAGCTATACTTGGTACCTGAGGGAGATTAATAATGTGCCTATTAATAATGCCTTAATAATGTATACATTGCAGTATGCAATAATAGTTTGAAAAGATAAAAAATGAAGAACTTTAAGAAATAAATGAAAATACATAATACATTAGTAACAAAATATTTTAGGGAATACATTAAAGCTCACTGAAGTATAGTTATTAGTTTAAGAAATCCACAAGCAGTTGGGTTAATTTTTGTTTTTAATATCCAGAAGGTGAGAACTAAGAATAAAATCAACAGGCCCTCAGCTTTCTTCTTCTTTTATATCAAAGAACCCATATAAACATTAAATACTAAATTGTAAGTTCAAATTTCTCTTGAGTTTGGAGCCTTACAAAAATGAACGATACTTTGGAGACAATTGATTAACCTAACAATGAACTATTTTACTATTTCCCCAAGGTATGTCAGTTAAGATTCATCTTTATTACATAATGTTTTGAGTAATAACTTAATACAACAAATGGAAATATATCATTTATCTACTATCCATCCATCCATCCATCCATCCGATATATGAAGATTCCCATTTCATATCAATGACTCTGGGTGGTGTACAGAAATTAAAACTATCATAACAATATATACCCATCATGCTCAGTTAAATGGTAACCCCCAAAACAAAAGCCACATCTCCAACAGAGCTTACCAACTAACTGCCGGCTCAAATGTGTGAAGACAGAGATTGTATCTCCTCTTGAACTTCTCTTTTGAAGGCTAAATAAATTCAGTACCTTTAACCATTCCTCACATGACTTGGTTTTCAGTCCCTTCATGTAGCCTGCTCTGAATTTGTTCCGCGTTTCCAATAGCTTGTTAAAGCTGTGGTGTCAAGAATTGGACACAGTATGTGTGGTTTCAAGAATTACTCTGCCCCTGTTAAAACATCTTAAAGTGGCATTTGTCTTACTAGCGGCTGCATTACACTATTGCCACACTATTGGATTATTATACTACAAATTAATCTACCCAGTTCAGAATATCACATGCTTGTCTGGGCTATAGAACAAACGAATCATAGCCCAGTCAAATCAGCCAAACCAAAAAGCAACCATTGTTATGTGCTAATATTGATATTCTGATTCTGCTTGAAAGAATCAACTAACATCTTCCACGGAGAAAAAAAAGAAGTATTGTGTTTTTCAACAGAACTTCAAAGGCATTCTCTCTTTTTTTAAAAAAGCAATGTCAGTGGGTCTTCCACTGTCCCAGTTTCTGATTTAAATGGAATGTACTCCTATTCTAATAAAATAACCTATTAAGTGCAAGAAAAATATTTGACTGTTCCCTGTCAACACTGTTATTGTATGTTATTCACACTGATGAACTTGGGCATTTTCTACTTAGCTCATTCCGTCTGGCAAATTGGTGTGCCAATCTCACTTAATTTTACCAATTAATATTTAGTTGGTTCTACAGCTATAGAGACAGAGTTGTAAGTCACCCATCTGATCATATTTCAGCTGAATGATGGATGTAACTGTGCTAATGGGGGCTTTAATTGGAAATTAAATGGTTCATCTAGTGAACCCCCTGAATGTTACAGTTTAAAGAGTTGCAATTAAATATGGACTTCAAATTTGTCCATGTGTATATTAAAAGTGGTGCTCTGTTGCAGCAAACATTGTCAAATTAAATATAATTATATTTTTGATTATTATAACAATAAACCTATGTGATATCTTTTTTGCCTTTATAACCAAGATTCTTGGGCTCAGTAAAATGGCATAAAAGTTACATAGGTTTGCTTAAAGAAGTGATTTGAATTGTGGAGATGCCCTAATCTAATTTGCTGGATCAAAACCTCCTGAATCAAGGGAGCTTTTCCAGACTACTGGATTTTCTATGGTTGAAAGAAAGAAAGAAAATATCATGAAAACATGTATTCTGTCATGCTGCTAGTTTCCCTCAATTGCTCATCACCTAGCAACAACTGAATGCCACCAAAAGAGCTTCTCTGCACCATTGACTATTCTCAAATAGGTAAATGGTCTGCGGAGTATACCTTGTAACCCATCGTAGAAGTGATCAGCGGAAAGATTCCTATATGAGGGCTGTGAAAATTTTGAGTGGGCCACCTTCAGCATGTACCATGGGACTTCCTGCAGTCTGCATTGGAGCCACCCATTCTGAAAAATCTTTGGTATGCAATTTTCTGCAGTTTCCAGAAAATTCAAGTCCAGCCAAATCTTTTCAAACTTGAAAGCCCTGTGGCTAACTCTTCAGGAAAAAGCTCCTTCAGACCTCTCCTGTAGCATTTGCTGAAGAAGGCTGTTCTCAGCCTTCTCCTTTAACATGTGGAGAAAGAATGAAACAGAAACCAGTGATGCAATATAGACACTTACCTGGACTTTAGTAGTAGGATGCCACAGATATAGTGAAACATCAGGATGCTTCTCTTGGATCTTACGTAAGGGACAAGATCATTACTGTATGAAGGATCTTTGAGGAGTGTTTCATTTGTCATTTTGCTGAAATGAAACACTGCTCTGAAGTTTTGCACAGCCTAATATTCGTGGTATTGAGCTACTTATATTAACAAGTTTGCAAAATAAATCCATGTCTTCACAGCATTATCATAGATAGCTATTTTGCAAATGTACAATATATTCAGAGAAAAGAAAAAGACAAAAGGGTTGGTGAGGAATATTTTTAGCAGATCATGATATGAAACCTTAAGTATCAGCCTTTTAATGATAAGCACTGTTCTCTTTCCTTCTGATTAATTTTCCTTAGGTCCAATACCCAGATGTTACGATTAAGATCAGATTTGCAGGCATTCAACCCTGCTTTTAACTTACTGTCATGGTTTACTGTTACTCCTTCCTCTGTAATAGGTTTTCCACATCCTTGCACTGTACAGGCCCTTGCATAGAATTTATACTTTGTGCTGAGGCTTAGATTAGACAATCTGAAGCTTAATGATGATGCATTGGTAATACTGATTTCATGCAAAGGCCCAATGTTATCAGTCTCATTAACTGAAAAACAAAAGAAGGAGCAGACACTATTTAATCAGACATCAACATTAGAAATCAGTTTAGTTGTTAAAAATGTATTTCATATGCCAACTTTATATTTCACCAATGTACAACATAAAACACTTTAACTGTAATATATACCCTGTTTCCCCAAAAATAAAACCAAGTGCTTATTTCAGGGTTCAAAAAAATTAAAGACAGGGTCTTATTTTCACCCCTCTCTCCCTCTCTCCCTCTCTCTCTCTCTCTCTCTCTCTCTGTCTCTCTGTCTCTCTCTCTGTGTGTGTGTGTGTACACGTACACACAGGGATGCATTGTGTCACACAGTTAATTACTGTGAAACAAAATATCTAGTGAAACTTTTGCTGTAAACAGAACATGAATCTAAGTAAAATTTACATGTAAAAATGTTATTAAAAATCATGATACAGTTCTGGGAACATTTATTTATTGAATGTATTTGCTGATAATCTCGTAGCAAATAATTCTACCAACTTGAATATTGAACCTGGAATATTTGCCGAAAATAATAGGTAATCAGAATCCAAAGCCATGATCTACTTAGCTCCTCACAGTTTGTTTATATTTTAATTTATATTCAATAAACTTCCAGCAGCTAATACAAAAGGAAAGCACATCAATGCATTTTTTCCAGTCATGGAGATGCAACTATATTCCATTTTAAAAAATCAGATTAATTTGATCTGTCAGTCAATGTTCTATCATTAGGAGTGAGATCACATAATTTTGGGAACTCTTGGAAGGTTACCACAATACAGGCTTTAGAATATGGTTTATACTAAGCATAGTTAATACATTTAACACTATATTCTATCATTCTTCCCTCAAATCTCACTGTTAACTATCTGCTTGCATCTTCCCCAATCATCAAACTGTGGATTTGGAAGAAAAAAAGAAAATCTTTGTGACTAATAAAATTAACCCTATAAAGATGGTATGGGGCAGAGGTGGGTTTCAGCAGGTTCTGACCAGTTCTAGAGAACTGGTAGCGGAAATTTTGAGTAGTTCGGAGAACCGATAGTAAAATTCTGATTGGCCCCGCCCCCATCTATCCTCTGCCTCCCAAGTCCCAGCTGATCGGGAGGAAATGGAAATTTTACAGTATCCTTCCCCTGCCATGCCCACCAAGCCACACCCACCAAGCCATGCCACGCCTACCAAGCCACACCCACAGAACCGGTAGTAAAAAATTTTGAAACCCACCACTGGTATGGGGCTGCAGTAAGATAGTTTTAATGCAGTATTTAAAAAAATACCTAGCTCTATGAGGTTAAAACACATATTTTCAAGTCATGACTTCAAACAGTAAGCCTGCTAATCCTTAAAGACAATAAAGATTTACAGTAGGAATGTTAGGACAACTTAATGTCTCTGCCCAATTAGAATTTAATCATGGTTTATGTAATTTTTTTTTAAAAAAGAAACAATATTGAAAAAATAAAGGAGGAAATCCTTTCCGTCATATTTTGAAGTCAGCTAAGAATGATCTACCTTAAGGAGATGTTTTTTAAAAAACTCTAAACCCAAAGTAGAATATTTATATACTTACTCATTTGGTACTGCAACGTGTATCCAGTAATGAATCCATTAGGTTTCTTTGGTGGCCCCCATGACAGTGTTACAGAGTCTTTTTCAAAATTTAGTATTTTTAGAAAGTGTGGTTTTTCTGGGACTGTAAAATACATATGTAAAAATATGATCATGAATACACTTTTATTCATTTGTTCTTATAAAATTTATCCAGTTGGGCAATATAGGAAGTGTATCTAGATACAGAATAAAATAAAGTAATATAATATAAAAACAAAGCAAGTAAATATTAGCCACTCATTTCATCTCTACATATTACCAAAAATACAGACAACTTTTCAAAATATATCTTATTGGTTAAATTCTGTTAACTAATTCCCTAAAATGAACATGACTTTTTTTCAGGTTTCCAAAACTCAATTGGACTAGCTTGGAACATTTTAATAGTTTGCCTGCTGTTTAAAAGTTACAGTAGCTAAGTATTCAGCTTTGGAAAAATAAATACTATTTTATCAGAGGATTTCATTCACCAGTTTTTATAGAATGTATGTAGTTTTGGGGAAATCTAAGAAATGAAGAAAACAGGAGAGATTTGTAATTTTCTCTTTCCCCAATTCTCCCATTTGAAATGAACTTAGTCATTCTTTCTAAATCCTGCCATCAGTCAGCATGGCCTTATGGGCTTTTGAATCTGCACTTGAAAAGGAATGTGTTGTATTAAAGATATTAAGGAAAGTGCAAGAAAGTAGGGCATATGCTTTCAGTAGTACCTCCCTGTTTCTAACAGTGAATATTTGACTCCAGTGACAGTTTTTGTAACTCATTGGAGCTCTTATCTAATTTCTAATTGATATGAACCCATTGGGTTCTTAGAACATTCCAAGGAAGAATAATAAAACAATACACCTTTATCAAGCACAATAATAACAACTCTAGTATATATATATAGTTGCAGTGACCAACTATAAAAACTCCCTTTTAATAATGAGATATTAATTTGATATCGCCAACTGTGAGAATGCCCAGATAAGGGAACAATGACACACAACCAAGACAGCAACAAAGGGAAAAAATACGGTGACAAAAGTTATCTATTCTTTTCTTTCTATTACCCTCCCCCTTCCCATTCTCCAACTTTACCTCCCTCTGGAGTTTGGAATTCATACGCAATGCTTTCAGGTCCATTTCCTTTGGAATTAAAAGCTAAGACGGTTAAATGGTAGATGCTAAAAGGCTCTAAACCAGGAATCATTCCATCATTTCGGTCTGCCTTAAATGTCAAGGAGTGTTTCTCTGGGTGATGATTTTTTTCATCCAGACGGTTTCGGATTTTCCACCAGTTGACCTGCAGAAGGGATATTTGCTTGAAGTTTTGAAGCAGAGACCAGATCTGACTCTTTGACAGCATTCACATCACTAAATCAGCAACACGCATGCACACACACACAGAGAGAAATACAAACACACCCATAGACAACCTAAGGTAAAGTTAAAGGTTTCCCTCACACATATGTGCTAGTCGTTCCCAACTCTAGGGGGTGGTGCTCATCTCCGTTTCAAAGCCGAAGAGTCAGTGCTGTCCGAAGATGTCTCCATGGTCATGTGGCCAGCATGACTAAATGCCAAAGGAGCACATAACGCTGTTACCTTCCCACCAAAGATGGTCCCTATTTTTCTACTTGCATTTTTTACGTGCTTTCGAACTGCTAGATTGGCAGAAGCTGGGACAAGTAACTGGAGCTCACCCCGTTACGCAGCACTAGGGAGTTGAACTGCTGAATTGCCGACCTTTCGATTGACAAGCTCAGCGGCTTAGCCACTGAGCCACCGCGTCCCTTATAGACAACCCAGCCAAAAGTTAAAATTAGATAAATAGGCTTGCATTTTGTAGAAAGTCTTCATCTAGTTCTTTTGCTGAGCTGGTTAAACTAATGTTTAACAAGCATTCTACAAAAGCGTATTAATAATTCAAGGATCAAGGTCAACTGTGGGAAAACAGGGAGAACAATATCTACCTTATATCCTCTAAGATGTCCACGAACCCGATCTTTTGGAATTGTGGACCAGATGACTTTCGCCAGACTGCTATTCATGACTTGCACAATTACGTTTGAAGGAGCTGCTTCTGGAACTGAACACAGAGGAAGAAAACATTTATATGATAGCCTATATTCAACAGATAGTAGTAGGTTTTTACTTTGTGCTTATATGAACTGTAAGTTTAGTATAACATTCAACCATCCTCAATCTCAGAGGATCTCTTTTGGAAGTGAATGAGAGTTAATGAACTAGAATTTCAAACAGTACTCCAGGCAATTCTGAGATGACAGATATGGCATCTTCCTCACACTTCATTAGCACATTAATAAATGGAGCAGGGATTCCTCTGGGTTTAGATTTAGGCCCGTGACAGCCATTTGATAACCTGGATTTAAAATGATGGGGCAGTATAATGAAAAGCCACACACATAATCATATGTCAGTAATAGTAGTGTAATATAACTGATAGCATCTCGCCTAAGCCTTAATCCATGGGCATATATTTGAGCTAGGCGCATTAAGATGGGATTTACTCCAATTGAAGTTAGCGGGACATATCTTGGAACAAATCCAAACAGAATTGGGCTTTATGAACTACAAATAGGACCTGCAACAAGAAATCCAAGTCTGGAATTCAGTTCAAGTCAGCCAACTTTTGTCTCTTCCAGTCCCTTTCTTTTCCATTCGCTAATCAGATTTATGCATTTTCTAAGCAGGTACAGTCATTCTCCAGATGCACTATATTTCTTGTTTCTAACTATTGCCCATACTCTTGAAAATAGCAAAGTCATTAATATTGTGTTTTAATATGTTCACCCTTTTGTCAGACCGCACTAGGCTAGAAAGTAGGAGTCTGTGAGTTCAAATCCCGCCTTAGCCACAAAAGTCAGCTGGGTGAATTTAGCCTAGTCATTCTCTCTCAGCCGAACCCATCTGACAGGGTTGTTGTTGTTGTTGTTGTTGTGGGGAAAATAGGAGGAGAAAGGTGTGTTGAATATGTGGGTTGCCTTGAATTATTTCTAAAAATAAATACAAATAAATAAATGAAATGAAAATAAATAAAAATGCTGTACAAACATCTTTCAGGTTATTGGTTGCATATTAATTTAATTTCTTTACAGCCATCTTCTTTTATGTCTCATGATGGAAAGAAAAGAAGGCAGGCATTTTTTTATTTCTCAAAAATCCTTGGTAGGTAAACTATGTTAAAATATCTAATGTTATTTCTCCGAGTCAGTCTATGACATTGTATGGGATATCCTACATATAGCTATATCTTATATACCTTCAGGATCTTTGCTATTTCTTCCAGCTCTTGTAGGAGTATAGGTGTTTGTGTGCATGGGTGTATGTGCAATGAAAGGAGAAGGAAATTGTATAAATGACAGTTTTACAACAGGCTAGACAAGTTCATAGTCAATCAAGATATACTAATATTGAGGGCAATTCACTACCTATTGAATCATGGGCAATGTGTGTTAAGTGATTGCTGGTAACAGTAGTAGAAGAGATTTCACCTTCCAGTCCAGCTTTGTGAGCTCTCAAAAACATCTAGTTGATCATTTTTTATTTATTTATTTTATTTTATTAGGCTTATATGCCGCCCTATCTCCAACGGACTCAGGGCGGCTCACAACAATAAAACCACAATAATCCATCATGCAAAGTTAAAATGCCTAATTAGATCAAATACTATTAAAAACCGGTAAAAAAAACCATCAGTCCAGGCCAGGCGACTCGAATAACCAAGTTTTTAATTCACGGCGAAAGGTGTGAAGGTCAGGGGCCAGCCAAAGCCCCAAGGGGAGTTGATTCCAGAGGGTGGGCACGCCCACAGAGAAGGCTCTGCCCCTGGGGGCCGCCAGCCGACATTGTCTCGCTGATGGCACCCTAAGGAGGCCCTCCCTATGGGCACGAACCGGGCGATGGGATGTTGTTGCTGGCTGCAGGTGGTCCGCCAAATATCCTGGGCCTAAGCCATGTAGGGCTTTATAGGTCATCACCAGCACCTTGAATCTCACCCGGAGGGCAACCGGTAACCAATGCAGGTCGTGCAGGAGGGGTGTTACATGGGACTATCGGGATTCTCCCATCACAACCCGCGCGGCCGCATTTTGCACCAGCTGAAGCCTCCAAGTGGTCCTCAAGGGCAGCCCCAGGTAGAGACCGTTACAGTAGTGTGACTCAGAATACTGCCAAAAGTGCCTTTTCAAGAGGCAACTGGACTTTCTTGTTTGTCTTTGAAGATGTTTTGCTTCTTATCCAAGATGAGAAATAAAACGTCTTCAAAGAAAAACCAAAAAGTCCAATTGCCTCTTGAAAAAGGACCTTTGGGACAACCACGACCTGGATGACTGAGAATCTCCATAGACAGACCCAGAATACTGCATTAGATGGGCCTATTTCCTGACTCATCAGGTCTCTTGTTATGCTTTATGTTCCAAAGATCAACGTCTGGCAGTTCTGATGATAAACCCAGAAAAATACAGGATTTCAAACAACACCCCAAGGTTACTAATATTATCAGAGCTCTGATCCGTGACAATGTATAGCAGAATATTTATCTATAATATAATTCCACCAGCCAGATCACTTTTCAGCACCTTTGAATTTGAAAAACCATATATATGAGATTGTTTGTATCTCTCCCCACTTCCCATTACTTACTGTCCTCGCTTGAATATCCAGTTAGTATATTAGGTTCAGGGCCAGATCCATATTTGTTCACTGCCTGGACTTTGATATCATAAGGCACAAAAGTAGGGGTGTTCTGCAATACTAGGAAATGTTTTTGCACTGTTTCTTCTTCCCATTCATTGGTATCCTGCTGTTTCCAGTTCACTTTGTATTCCAGACCAGGTCCATGATGTTCCATGGGCTTCAGTGGCTGCAAAGGAAGTCAAAATTAGAACAATTAATCAGTGGAATGACTTGCCTCCAGAAGTTGTGGGTGCTCCAACAACTGGAGGGTTTTAAGAAGAGACTGGGACAGCCACTTGTCTGAAATGGTATAGGATTTTCTGACTGAGCAGGAAGTTATATTAGAATGCCTCCAAGGTCCCTTCCAACTCTGTTATTCTGTTAAAATGAATCAGATATTGCAACACCGATACTACCAACAGCACATTCTTCAAGGAAGAAACAGTGGTGAAATCCAAAACTTTTTGCTACCAGTTCTGTGGGTGTGGTATGGTGGGCGTGGCAGGGGAAGGATACTGCAAAATCCCCATTCCCTCCCCACTCCTGGGGGAAGGATATTGCAAAATCTCCATTCCCACCACACTCTGGGGCCAGCTAAAGGTGGTATTTGTCAGTTCTCCAAACTATTCAAAATTTCCGCTACCATTTCTCCGAACTGCTCAAAATTTCCGCTACCGGTTCTTCAGAACCTGTCAGAACCTGCTGGATTTCACCCCTGGGAAGAAACCTTAACTTATATAATAAAACTGACTGTAAGTAAATTATCTGCAATAGGTGGGAGGTTGGTGAATGAAACCCCAGCTTTTTAAATGCACGATGTACTTAGTGCACATATGCAAAAAGGAGGAGGGCTTAAATTACCTGGTTGCAATCACCCTTTTAACATTGTCCAGACTTTCAAGGACACCTATATGTCTTGAAAAAAAATCTATAAAGCTATTTTTTTTAAAAAAAACTTCTTTCTATATATCAAAGAATGAAATGTAATTAACTTCTCACTTTCCTAAATTCTTCCAAACGTGAATTTGGAAAAGAGATACTGTAATGAGGCAAATGTATTTATTTATCTATATGTTGTCCATCTCATTATCCAAAGCCTATTAGTGTTTGTTTGGCTTACTCAATAAATGGCAAAGTACAATTATGATATTATTATTGTTGTTTAATATAGTGGATTCCGGGTGATTTATAAAATATAGTAATTTAAGTAATTCAAAATACAAAAAAAATAATAATAATGAAACAAGACAGCTTCCATTTAAATAAAGCATGCCAGCCTCACCTCCCCCAACATAATAAACTACCCACGCCTGAGACCAAATACAGGCTTTTACAGATTCTTTGGAACTTTGTATGAATAACCAGCATTGTAACTTCATTCAGAAAATTCAGAAAAATAAACGCAATATAGTTAACCTAGTTTTGCAATTCATAGACTAGAAGGCATGTACATGGCTGGCAGGACAGTTCAGGAACCATAGTAATAATGCACACAGCACTATTGGATCTGTATGATGGCCAATGGGATGTGGGGGCTGGAGAGCGGAAGAGGAGGGGGTTGGAAGGAGGGGCCAGTTTGGCTGTCTGTCAGGTTTCGGTGCTATCTTGAATAAACTTCATTCTCAAGCGCAAGCTGTCTAATGAAACATTTTATTTTTAAGCATAGCAGAATCCGACATTTCTGACTCAAATTTGCAGCCAAACTGGCCCCTCCTTCCAACCCCCTCCTCTTCCGCTCTCCAGCCCCCACGTCCCATTGGCCATCATACAGATCCATCTCTACATCCCGGCACGTTCTTTTCACAGGAATGCAGCCCCCACCCTCATCTCCCAGGAAACCCTATCTGTATAAACAAAACTAGGTAAAAGTTCATCTCAGCAATAAATCAAGCTTCCGCTCTTTCTGCTTCAACTTGTTATGTCAGCGCTGGAAGAAAGCCTAATTTGGAACGCTGACAACTATATTATGAGTTTTCTTTCTAAATTTTCAGCCAGGAATTGTTATATTTAATGAGGCATTCTGTAAAATTATTATTGTGGGAAGAGAAAATCCAAAGCAGCATTCTTTTCACTTATTCTTAGAGACCTCTAGATAATTTTAAGAGAAATTTACCATTTATAATTGTAGGCCAGAAGATAATAACCAAGAAAAGGCAAGGTAGAATTTTAGCATGAATTTTAAAATGTGACAAATTTCATATTTTACCCTCACTACACAATCAGTGCAGTTTCAAAGTATTTTCTTCAATCATGACTTATATATTCAATCAAATGCTACCCCATTGTGTACACTGGAGCTTCTTCAAAAGTTGTGTGACATATCATAACAAATGGGTCCATAACGTTTATATAAGGTTGTTACCTCCCATGTCATGTTCATTTCATGTGGTTTGGAAGCCTCAATTCTGATGTTTTCTGGGTTCTTGTCTGGAGCTGCAATGCAAGAATAATTCAATTAAGCAATTTTTACTTAATCTCCCTATTACAAATATATCCAAGAGCAGTGCAATATTTAAGATGACCCTGTCAAAATGAAGATTTTGACAGACAAAATCCTGCATAATGTTCAGCTATATGTCCCTGTTTTATTTATTGTCTTTATGATGCATCATAATTGATTTGACAACTCCAGAGAAAACTAATCTTGAAGACTGCCTTCCCTCATCTTATAAATATATTTGTGACAAACAAGCATACCATGTTCAGAATTGGTCAGGGCTAGGAGAAAAATGAAATTAATAACTAAAATTAATTACCTTTAAGATACTGATGAGAGAGAGAGAGAGAGAGAGAGAGAGAGAGAGATATTTCTTCTTCAAGAAATCAATTTGTAAATTATAATTCCCAAACCTTCAATATCAACATCTATACTAATTTGATTTTCTTCTAACAGTTACATTTTGTTGAACTTTCTTTTTCTAGAGAAGGTATTTCTACAAGTGATTTTTCCAATATGTTTACTTGTCTACCTTCCACTATATATCAGTGGTGGTATTCAGCTGGTAGTGGCGGCTGCGGGAGGCTCTGCCCACCTGTTCGGACATCATCACATCCCATTTTTGACACTCTGCGCATGCACAGAAGGTCCTGCGCATGTGCAGAGGTGTTGCACGCCCTCACATTTGCAAACCGGTAGCGAAGGTAACTGAATACCACCCATAATACACACACACACACACACATCATTTATAATTGGAAATCATGTCACAAAATTCTGAAAAGGGCAGTGGAAAGAAAAAAAACATGCAAACAATATGGATTTAGTCATTTTCATTAAAATGATAGGATTAGAACCAAATAGTAATTTTCACAAAGCAGCAGATGTTAATGGAATTATTCTAAAGAGATGGCTCAGTGGAACTGGAGAAACAGAAAGTATATCATCATTAATGTAAGGCATGGAACTGGAAAGCTGGGAAAATACAAAACCAACACTAACAATTATCAGGGGAATATAAATCAATAAGTCATTCAAAACATTTATTTCAGCAAGCAGTTTTTTCATGTTATAACAAGAAAAATTGGTTGTAAACAGAAATTCTTTGGAGACTTGTGATTTAATAAAAATTATTTATGTTCTGATAACTCCTATTAAAAAATCATGCCTCTATAAAGAAAGGTGGGACTGAATTTGAAATATATCACATTAAATTTTGCAGGAAGTTTAAGTTAATTGAGAATTTTATAACAACCTAGGACCCCTTCAAAGCAGATCAGTTCATGAAAATGTATAGAACAGAAAGAAAAGAACAGTTTCTTGTTCATTTCATTAGAATTCTTTGTATGTATAAAACAAGAGTCTCAAGTGGAGATTAAAGTAAATTATGTCACAATCCTAATGGAAATGAATTTTTAGTATGGTTTGCTTCTTCAGGTTCATAGCAGGGTGAATAGTAGCAGTAATTAAGTCTACCTAGGAATTACCTTTTTCCAGAAAAAGCTGAGTCACTTTCTAAATTATATGCCTTTCTCTAAACTTTAAAAATTGTAATAAATTTACTGTGGTTGGATATGTAGTCTATAAGATCCCAAAGGTGATTTTTCAAGATACAGTTGGACTTTCTTTGTTTTTCCTTGAAGACATTTCGCCTCTCATCCAAGAAGCTTCTTCAGTTCTGACTGAAGTTTCTTGGATGAGAGGCAAAAAGTCTTCAAGGAAAAACAAAGACAGTCTGGTTGCTTCTTGAAAAAAACACTTTTGGGACAACCATAACCTGAATGACTGAGAATCTCCATAGTCATTGAGTCTATAAAAGGTTTCCTACTGCTTTCTGGTACAATTATGTTTTAGAAATAGAAATAGAATAACAGAGTTGGAAGGGACCTTGGACGTCTTCTAGTCAACCCTCTGCCCAGGCAGAAAACCCTGCACCACTTCAGACAAATGGTTATCCAACATCTTCTTAAAAATTTCCAGTGTTGGAGCATTCACAACTTCAGGAGGCAAGTTATTCCACTGATTAATTGTTCTAACTGTCAGGAAATTTTTCCTTAGTTATAGGTTGCTTCTCTCCTTGATTAGTTTCCACCCATTGCTTCTTGTCCTGCCCTCAGGTGCTTTGGAGAATAGCTTGACTCCCTCTTCTTTGTGGCAACCCCTGAGATATTGGAACACTGCTATCATGTCTCCCCTAGTCCTTCTTTTCATTAAACTAGACCAGGGGTCGGCAACCTTAAACACTTAAAGTGCCACTAAGGTCCTAACCGGAAGCCTCCCATTCAATTCTGGAGCCGACTAAAGTCTGGTTTTCCCACCATAGAGTCTCCTCCTAGCACGGCATCCTTTTTCCTCTACCTGTCCTAACCAGAAGCCCTATCAATTGTGGAGCCGACTGGCGACAGGGAGCTGCAGCAGAGGGATGAAAGAGCCACATGCGGCTCCAGAGCCACGGGTTGCTGACCCCTGAACTAGACATACCCAGTACCTGTAACCATTCTTCATATGTTTTAGCCTCCAGTCCCCTAATCATCTTTGTTGCTTTTCTCTGCACCCTTTCTAGAGTCTCAACATCTTTTTTACATAGTGGCGACCAAAACTGAATGCAATATTCCAAGTGTGGCCTTACCAAGGCATTATAAAGTGGTATTAACACTTCACGTGATCTTGATTTATATGACATCCTTCCTTAGATCATCCAGGAAGGACTAGTCTTTCATTTGTACTTACTTGAGTGTATTTACTTTTAATGCTCCCTTCCAGGTCAATTATAGTTTTTTCCAAGAATGACAACCAGAATTAAAAAAAAAAAAAATCAAACACATTCAACCCTAGATTCATAATTAAGAGAATACACAAGAAAGTAAAAAATAAAAGGTTCGAAAACAAACAAACCAAAGTGGTTATAATCTTCTATTGTGTATTTAGCTTACCGCTTCCCCCCCTCCAAAAATCAAATTTTAAAATGCAAGATAACGATTCTGATAATACATTAGGTGCATTGTGTATGAGTATACCTTCTTCCTCATTTGCAGTACATAATTATGTACCCAAAAAAAAGCAATTAACAATACATACCAGCTGGAGGTGTCTCATATCGTTCTGATGGTTCGCTGGGCTTACTTCTCCCAACTGCATTGACAGATATAACACGGAACTGGTAATTTACATAAGGGATCAGTGGTAAAACAGCCATAGTATCGTTTCCTGGAAGCCTAATTAATTCCTGCCACTTTCCAGGCTCCCATCGGTTTTCTTCAAATTCCACAATGGATTCTAGAAAGGACAAGAAGAGGGGAAAAAACACAATAAGGAAAGCCTGTGAATTAAAGAACAAACTACCCTGGAATAAGGTGGATGAGAACTGAAAAAGATGATTCGCAACAAAGATCTTCAACAATAAATTAAATGCTTTCATTTAGGATATATGGTTAATTCAAGGCTAATTATTTACTGTCAGTTTATAAAAGCCAGACTGTGGCAGAATAATTATTCTTACCATTAATTGGGCTATTGTTAATGCTTCCAGGGCTCCAAGATAATCTAATATTTCTTGCCTGTTTTTCGGAAAGCTGCAGGTCCCCTGGTGGGTCAGGGACATCTAAAAAATAGGAAAGAAAAGCAAGAATGACTTTTAACTACAGTATGCAATTTTGAACTCAGCAAACCGTAATGATATTTATCAACAAAAGTTCTGTGCAACCCAGAAGGCTGCATTAAAGTTGAGAAACAATTCAAGAAATTAAAATCTGACACAACTGGTAGAAGTACCAAAGTTAGCTCCTGATTTCAGAGGCCTGTAACTAGTTTATCTTTAAAAAACAGAGGAAATTAGGGGATTGGAGTACAAGACCTCCAAGATCCCTTCCAGCCCTTGTTTCATAGTCCTATAACTAGCTTATTATTAAGAACCAGAAGAAATCAGGATACCTAGAAGCAGGGTGGGCTTCAAAAATTTTAGCAAGGGGTTTTTTAGCCCAGTTGCTGGGTGAGCGTGGGCATGCTGAGCATGGCCTAGTCGGCCTTCTGCACCATGGTGGAGGGGCATTTTTTCCCTTCCTGGGTTCCGGATGATTTTTTTGCGCCTCCGGGAGGGCGAAATGGCCTTTCCAGGCTCCGAAGGTCCTCGGGAGGCCAGAAACGAACCTGTTTCCGGCCTTCCTAAGCTTCCAATAGGACCATTTTTCACCCTCCCCAAGCCTCCACATGCACCTTGCACTTACCTGCATCCAAAACAGGCCATATGGGGACCCCTGGGAGGGGAGGGGTGAGGTGGGCAGGGCCATCCAGGAGTGGGATTTGGGGGTTATCCGAACTGCACAGAATCTTAGCTAGAGGTTCTCCCGAACCCCTGAGAACCCCCAACAGCTCACCCCTGCCTAGAAGACCTCCAAGCAGGGGTGAAATGCTCCCGATTCGGACCGGATCGCCCGATCCAGTAGCGATGGCGGCGGGTGGTTCAGAGAACTAGTAACAAAAATCCCTGCGCCCCCCCCCATGCCCAGCTGAGCTGCGCAATCATCAGAGGCTTTTTTATTTATTTTTAAAAGCATTTTTTCTACAACCTCTTTGGCTGAAAAAATGCTTTTAAAAGTTAAAAAAAAAAGCCTCTGATGATCGTGCGGCTCAGTTGGGATCATCAGAGGCTTTTAAAACCATTTTTTATTTGGCTGAAGAGATTGTAGGAAAAAAATGCCTTTAAAAGCCTCTGGCGATCCCAACTGAGTTGCCTGATTGTCAGAGGCTTCTAAAAGCATTTTTTCTGCAACCTCTTAAGGTTGTAGAAAAAATGCTTTTAAAAATAAAAAAAAAACAAAGTTGGCCATGCCCACCCAGTCACATTATCCCCCCACCAATCCATGCCCAAGAACCGGTAGTAACAAAGTTTAGATTTCACCCCTGCCTCTAAAATCCCTTCCAGCCCTATGATTCAAAATAGCATGATCAGAGTTAGGTTTAGGCTACCTGCTCTTAGACTTGATAGAGATAGTGGAACAGAGGCTTCATAAGTAGAAGAGCTTGTATTCCCAAGGAAGAAATGAAAATAAAGACATAAAAGTCTAAAATACTTTGATTTACTTGATTGAAACTATCTAAAAGTAGTTATATCTCAGCAGTCCTTCTTTTGCTGATTCACTTTGCCCAGCTGGGGTTCCATTATGTACAGCTAACAGAAAATGGGGTCAACTTTGGGGTATAAAGGAGATTTGCCCAATGAAGGGCAGAGAGTCTATATGCTTCACCTTTCAAAAAATTACCAAGTAAACAAATCAGGATAGGATCAAGGTTTGTAAGGCTAAAAAAAAAAAAAAAAGAGCAGCGGAAGATTCAGAACAGATCAAATGGCTAGAAGGAGCAAGTGGACATGAGTTAGAAAACTTCTAACATCCCCTAGCTGTTGCTCTGGTGGGGTGGGGGTGGCATTTGGATTATCTAAATATATGCTATGTCTTTAAAACTGATTGGTTAGCCTGTTATATATATAAAAAAATGAATTGCTAGCTCTCAGCAAGAGTCTCTACAAGAAAAAAGATGATTCATCCCACAAAGTTGAATAACTTGGGCTTCTATGATGCTATCTGTCAAACTTTATGGATGCTGCTTCTTTGTTTCAAGTACAAAAGCTGTTATTTACTACCAGTGGTAAAGTAGTATGGTTGTTCACAATAACTGCCACTAGGTCCCTCTTTACTACTAACTGAAGCCCTGGCACTAGGTTTGATTTAGAATAAACTTCAAAAGGGCTTGACAAGTTCATCTTAAGAATCTCAGAGAAGCTAGCTTCTCAAACTCAGAAGAAGCTGTGCTTTAAAACAGTTGGTACATCTTTTTTCAGAAGAAACCACACAAACCATCCAGGGGTGGGTTCTACCTACCTTTACTACCCGGTTTGCAACGGGGCCGCGTGCGCACTCTTCTGCACATGCGCAGAAGCATTCTGATGACGTCAGGATTGGTGAGCGGAGCCTCCCGCCGGTTTTACTACCGGTTCTATAGAACCGGTCCAAAGGGGGCAACCCACCTCTGAAACCATCAGAATAAAAAAGCACTAGGCAGCCCATCTTCAATTTGGTGTTCTTCAGTGGCAGAAGAGCACAATTCCCAATGTTTGCAGGTGACAGAGTCACTTGGTCAGACTGGCTGATTATCTGTCTTGCTTCCTCTTCCAACGTGCATGTGTCTTCCATAAGAAAATATAGCACAAACCATGGAGCCATTTCTGATATTACTGGTTGTACGCATAGCTTTTTATGTTTCCTAATAGCGTAGAGGGAAGAAAGCTCACCCTCAGAAAGCTCTGTCTGATGTTCTTTATCCTTACATCAAAGGAACATAATTGTATCTACCCCTGCAATGCTTTAAAGATTGGCAGATATTGTAGAAACAGGCAAATTTATCTAGAAAGCTGCAAATGTGAACCGTAGAACAAAATAGCAACAAAAACAGTACACAGTAGGCATCAGTTCTGAAAATTCACTTCTGAGGATTGTCGGACTATTTAGAGCACTGGGGAGCCATAGAATGAGATAATTTCAAATACATTTCTAGTTTTAAGGTGAGGGAATCTTTTTTCAGGCTCAATACTGACTTCAAGCAAAAAAATATTTCTATTCTAGTGGTAATTTGAAGGTATTTCTTTTTATGTATGACATATTTCTTTCTGCTCCAATAGAGAATATATATATATATTTCTGCTGTAATAGTTAGAAATGTTCCCAACAAAGGTCAAATTTTATTTCTTGCCTCAGCTACAATGGGATTCTTATTAAGCAACTGTCCTAGTAATAGGAAAGAAATGAAATAGTTGTAGAGAAGAATGCTACATAAATACCTAATTATTAAAAACTGTTAAAAATAGACATTCAAAATCTTTTCTAAAAAACCGGTAAGACATGGTTTTCTGCTAAAGAATAGATACAGCATATTCAGTCCTGTGATGGAATTGGCAGCTAAATATTAATTTAATGCACTTCAAGGGAGGTAAAAGGAAAAGACTAATTTCACCCAGCTACAAATGAATCAAAATTACATGAGGCTCTTTATCAAAAATATCTGAAAATGTGTTCAAACTTAATAGAGAACAATGCTTTAACAACTGGAAAAGCCAGGATTTCCACGTTCAAGGTAAAATAATTTAAGTTCAGTATACTGCGTCATTGTAATATTAAATGGAGCTACTGGAATTATAGCCAAACAGCTTTGTTTAATATATTTAATTAAGCTATTATTTTTTTTCTATCTTGCTTCTCCCTGGAGGTCAGCTTTGAACTTAGTGGCATACATTTCATTTAACATTGTGTTTAATCAATTTATACACTGTTTATCTCCTGTCAAATATTTGCAAGGGATGTTTGACTTTTTTTCCACGCTGCATTTGCAATTATTAACTATTATAATTATAATTATAATTGTCTGCAATATTTTCTTCATGCTCAATCACCTCCTTAAAATCTCAATTCAATTGAAAACATTATGTCATGCCTCTATTGTGAAGATTCAATTTGCTGAAGCTAAGACAGTCTGGGTCTGGTAAATGCCTTGGATAGTGTAATGGCATGTTGGAATTGTCCCTTGTGGAACAAGGGGAAGAGATGCTGCAAGGGAGGCAGGAACTCCCAATGGCTTAACTATCAGAGAAAGAAACTTAGAAAGCACCCGTCCTGGGAATAAAGCAATAAAAAGTGGTGGGGGAAGTCGTACTTTCAGATTTTCAAGATTCTGTTAATGTAGCCTCACAATAAATTAGATTTAGCTCATTTAGTCATGTCTCCTGTCTGGTTTACCCTGGTGAGCTGACAGATGGAGACATTATGTGCACTGCCTTGAATTACATGACTAAAGAAATATAATTACATCTAGGAACTGGCTAAAGAATTACAGTAAATTCAAAAATGAAAGTGTTTTAATATCTCTATTTATGTAATGCATGTAACCTTGACACCTTCATTATTTTTACATCCAGTCAAAAAAGGGGGTTTGGAAAAATCTGAAGTTTATGTGAGAATTTAGGGAATTTCACTCTAATGAATCAAACTAATATTGTTATTGGGCCCAGAATTGGGAATTGAATCCATTAATTTGCAAAGATGCACTAAGAATAGGCTCCCCCAAAAATCCAAAGGGATTTAAACTGGCAATATTAATTAGTTTGTGAACAGAAGAACAAAATTCACTTACCCAGGACAATTAGGCGGGAATCATCCGTGGCGCTATCAAGCAATGAAGTTCCTTCACATGTGTACACCCCCTCATCTTCTGGGCCCACATTTTGTATAACCAATGTATCCTTTTTAATCATAATTCTGTCAGGGAAAATACAAATTGTACATCTATATACCAGAACTACGCATTTTGCGCTTTTTTGAAAGATTTAGATATGCAGGTTTTTGCTTGTGAAGTAGTCTTTCAAGAATCAGTTCATCTTTCATCCAATTTGCATATTATATATAAATCCAATGTATATGCAGAGGGGAGAGGAGTGGATAATGGAAAGGAGGAAGAAACATAGAGAGATATTACCATTGTTACTTACCAAGAGAATTTAAAAGCTTTGCAAAGTGGAATTTGTCAATTTATGTTAATATAGAAATAATACACTGTTATGTAAAACTAGAAATGTGTAAAAACATGGATCTATCAGGTTTGATCCTTGCCTGTGGCTTACACCAGAGCAAGCACCATGGGGCTGGTTAGCACGCTGCAATGAGATTGGTTGAGGGAGTTCAACCAATCTCATTGCACGCATGTTGTGCACTGACAATAAAGATTTGAATTTGAATTTGAAAGTCAACTCCCTGCCTTTTAATTGGTTTTCACATTGATTTTTAATTAACAGAATAGTAGAGTTAAAAGGGACATTGGAGGTCTTCTAGTCCAACCCCATGCTCAAACAAGAGACCCTATATCATTCTAGACAAATTGCTGTCCAATCTCTTCTTAAAAATCTTCTGTGATGGAACACACACAATTTTTGGAGGCAAGTTGTACTTTGTTCTCTGTTCTTATTTTTAGCTTGGTTCTCCCCTTGATTACAGTAGTGGCCAAAATTGTGGAAACCTTTTGGGGAAAGTGTATTTTTGAGGTTTGATGCCTAATAACACCACTTTTTTTTTTTTTTTTTTTTTTTGGAGTTTCAAGATAATCATATTCCACTGCTGGAATGGCCTGGGAATAGCCCAGACCTTAACCCAGTTGAAAATCTATGGAACCAACTAAAGAAACTTGTTAGTCAGAAGTGACCCAGCAATAAAACCCAGTTAATAGAACCAATCATTAAATCTTGGTTTCATTTATAACAGCTGCAGAACTAAAAGACTTGATTCATTCCATGGGAAGACATTGTAAGGCCATAATTCATGCTAAAGGTTATCCAACTATTAAATGACATGGTGTATCTCGTTTTTTTTCTACGTGTTTCACTTTTCTTCTTTATACTGTAACTGCTATTCTAATAGCAAATCCTTCATAAAAATGATTGCATTACATTCTTGATTAAATTATCTTTCCATTGATATATAATTTTATGGTACTACACACAAAAAAAGTGGTGTTATTAGCTAGCTTTAGAAAATACACTTTTCTCAAAAGGTTTCCACACTTTTGGCCACTATTGTAGTTTCCATCCATTGTTTCTTGTCCAATTTTCAGGTGCTTTATGGCAACCCCTTAGCTATTGGATGGTGTCACCTCTAGTCTTTCTTTTCATTAGATTAGACATATTCAGTTCTTCCAATTAGTCCCAAATGGGCTTTTTCAAGAGGCAACAGGAGTTTCTGGTTTTTCTTTGAAGACATTTCACTCCTCATCCAAGAAGCTTCTTCAGCTCTGAAGAAGCTGAAGAAGCTTCTTGGATGAGAAGGGAAATCCCTTCCCCCCCCCCAAAAAAAAAACCAAGAAAATCCAGTTGCCTCTTGAAAAAGCATCTTTGGAATAACCATGACCTGGATGACTGAGAATCTCCATAGACATTTATTTCTCCAACTTGTTTTTTTAGCCTCCAGTCCCTAATCATCTTTGTTGCTTTTCTCTGCACTTTTCCAGAGTCTCAACATCTTTTTGTATCAGAGTGACTCAAACTGTGTGAAGTATTCATTGTTGCCTTTTTAAGTTTCAAACTTTGTATACTGTTTTGATGTTTTAATATTTTATCTGCACCCCATCCAGAATCCCACAATGAGAAAGATGGGAAGCTTTAAAACGATAAGAGAAATAAATAACACTCCATTTATAGAAACTGAAAATAATTATCATGGTTTAAAAAGACCAACCAGATCCAAGATCCTGAAAATACCATTTTAAAAGTCAAATGTTAGACATACATGTCAATACTGGAATGATTCTGCGGTTACTTCACATATACAAGACATGTGAGCTCATACATGATTTGCACAGAAGTATATAAACAAAACGGTTATAAAATTGGAGTAGAATTTCCTTTTTTAAACAGTTTTGATGGAGAACTTTCATAGAATTATTTTTATTTCAGGGAACATGAATGGTTGCCAGTTGAGAATCTTTTTTTTAATTCTTTAAATAATTTTTTTCAAACCTAATACTTAAAAAAAATGTGTAATATAATTTAATTTCCTGAAAATCAAGTTATGTAACTTTAAAATTTTTCAATTTTCCCAAATTCCCACTTTGATATATGAATTCTAACATTTGACCACTAGAGGTCCTTCTAGGATCACAAAGGAATTTCCTATTCTATTCCAGAACAAAAGTTACTTTAAAGCAGAGGTCTTCAAACTTGGCCCCTTTAAGACTTGTGGACTTCAACTCCCAGAATTCATAGCTGGCTGGAGAGTTCTGGGAGTTGAAGTCCACAAGTCTTAAGCTGCTAAGTTTGGGGACCCCTGCTTTAAAGTATTACCAAGAAGGGAGTAGGTGGGAGAAATTACTGGTATATTCAAGGTCTTCCATTATTATAACTTTTTCTAATCATGCTGAAGGGGAAAATATTTTATTTTTTCTCATTAAAAATTGAGTGTTTCTTATTCTTACTAAGTTCTCTGTTAGACCTGAAATAAATTAAAGCTCTTTTGGTTTTGAAATACATACTTTATTGTTTGTATAATACTTTACAATGTTATACCTCTCGTATCATTTTTACACCAACATCTATGAACTTCATATGTATTTGATATTTTCTAAAGAAGCCAAATGAACATCATCCTTCCATTAGAGATACTCTCAGCAAATAAGACATGAACGTATTTGCTTTTAATTATGTATCTTTCTAAAAATGAAAGTGACTCACTATTGGGCACTGCCCATAAGATACAATATTATTTCTGTGAAATGCAAATTGATCAAAAGGAAAGAATAAAGACAACGCATTATGTTGTTACCTTCCATCCTCAGTGTCATTCATCTCCAGTTCCTCTCCATCCTTTTTCCAAGAAATTTTAAACTGGTGTTTCAAATGTGGGTCACATTCAGAATGACATTTCAATAAAACTGAATGTGATTTCAAAACTTGTGGATTCTTAGGTATAATTGAAATTTTGGTAGCGTCTAAGGAATTGAGAAAAAAAAATGCATGGCCATATATCATTTTGTTGTAAAATTACATTTCAATAGCAAAATATAGCAGGTTCTTTTGAAAATTGATTTACACGTTTTGTCTTATTTTTTCCTATAGATAAGGAATATTTATTGGAATTTATATAATATAATGAACTAGTATTCCTGTTTTTTCATGTGAGAGAAATGTACATACCCATTTTCAAAATATATGTTCTTAAATACAAATTGTGCATTTAACAAAAAAATTATTGGAGAACAGTACACACATTTCAAAATAATTTTTACTATACATTGACACTTCCACATGGTAAGGTATGCACAAAAAATTAATCATCTTCATCATTATCACCCTCTTTCTCCCCTCTACTTTTTACCAGGGTACCTAAGGAGCTCCTTACAGTTATGATTCCTGGCCATCTTACTCATTTGAGACAGATGTGTAAATCAATAAATAAGAATATTTGTCGCTCAGGGTTGAAATGAGAGGTCCTTAGTGCTCTCTGACCTTGCTTGTTTTCTTGCAGATGTTTCATTACCAAACTAGGTAACATCATCAGTGGCACTAGCACTGATGATGTTACCTAGTTTGGGTAATGAAATGTCTGCAAGAAAACAAGCAAGGTCAGAGAGATTCAACCTGGAAATAAGGAGAAATTTTCTGACAGTGAGCGCAATCAACCAATGGAACATCTTGCCTTCAGAAGTTGTGGGAGCTTCATCACTGAAAGCTTTCAAGAAGAGTCTGGACTGCCATTTGTCAGAAATGGTGTAGGGCCATGATGGCGAACCTATGGCACATGTGCCAGAGGTGGCATGTGGAGCCATATCTGTGGACACGCGAGCATTGCCCTAGCTCAGCTCCAGCGCTGATTTTTGGGCCTTCTGGTCCCACTGGAAGTCAGGAAAAAGGCCATTTCCGGCCTCTGGAGGGCCTCTGGGGAGGTGGGAAAGGCCGTTTTCGTCCTCCCCAGGCTCCAAGAAAGCCTCTGGAGCCTCTGGAGGGAGAAAAATGGGTCTACCAGGCCCACTGTGCCATCGCGTGCCAAAAGCGGGGGGAGTGCGGAGGGGTCACATGTGCATGCACGGAGGGGCAGGGCACATTGAATTATGGGTGTGGGCACACACGCACACGCTTCCCCCACTTTTGGCACGCGACGGCAAAAAGGTTAGCCATCACTGGTGTAGGGTCTCCTGCTTGGGCGGGGGTTGGACTAGATGACCTACAAGGTCCTTTCCAACTCTGTTAATCTGTTACATCAGATGTGTAAATGGCAAAAAGCAATTCTTATTCCTGCCCTTACAGCCAAATGTAAGCGTTTTATTGCATGCAGTAAAATTAACTGAATCTTTAACTATTGTTTATGTTCCCATTTATATCACCTCTGACAGTGAGAGTAGCAGTGAGGGCACGCTTCCCAACAGAATTTTTCACCAGGCAGGTATAAAATCCAGCATCTTCCTTCCGTGTTTCTCTAATCTCCAGGGTTCCATTTTGATCCACCTCAAGGAGTTGCATGCTGTCATCTTTAGTCCTAGCAAGGAATTTGAAATCAGAAGCATGCAATTATTACTTATTGATAAACCTGATTTTTAAACTTTCCTTTAACAGTAATTCATCTGAGGGAGAAAAAGAAAATCCTGGAACAAGCCATGTTGGAAACACAGCCTATAAAAAACAGGCATAGGATTGAGAAATAATTTAACAGCATTAACCCAGAAGCAGTAAGACTGATTTCCAAGATCAAAAGTGTTCTGTGGTATCTTTTTCAAACTGTTTTATAGAAAAGTTATTTTCAGTCCTGTTGTTAGTGGCTAGAGGAAAATAATGGCAAGCTCATTTTAATTTGACAGCTGAAGGAAAAAAATAGCAAAACAAGGATATTGCATAGAATTAAGAATACACTTTCCTTCAGACATCTAAATTTTGTGCCATTCTAAAGGGGGATGGAGGGAAACCCAGGTAGAAGATATGAGGCTTTTCTTTATATGTCTCATTGCTATCTCTCCTTTGCTCTCAGAGTGAAATAAAATTAGGAATGCTTTTTTTTACCAAGCTTGAATAGAGGAGGTAATCAGTGGTGGGATTCATATATTTTAACAACCGGTTCTCTGCCCTAATGACTGGCTGGGTGGGCGTGGCCATGGTGGGCATGGCCAGGGGGTGTGGCAGGCAGCACTCGGCCTCCTGCACCCCCATGGGAGCAAAAATGGGCCATGGGGGTGCACGCATACCCCTGTGCCCCGTTTTGGGCATAGGAGCCTCATGGGAAGCAAAAACAGGCCTAGGAAGCCTCCCTGAAGCCTCTTAGGAAGCGAAAACAGGCCTAGGAAGTCTCCCTGAAGTCTCCTGGGAGCAAAAACGGGCCACGGGGAGCGCGCCACCTCCCCTCATGCCCCATTTTGACCATAGGAGGACTGCCTGCATTTACCTGGGAGCCAAAAAGGGATGCATGGGGACTCCTGGAAGGGGTAGGGCAGGAAGGGGTGGGGCCAGCCGTCAATTTAACTACTGACTCATCCAAACCGGCTGAATCCCACCACTGGAGGTAATCCTGACACTCTGAGAAAATGAAGAGTCTTTAAAACTGATAGATCCAAAGTACATTCAGCTCACCCTCATTTTAAGGCCTATTATCATGGCCAATGAAAACCTCAACAGTCATGATCTGCACTCACAGATCAGTCTGATAGAAGAGAATATTGATCAAAGCAGAGTTGAAGTTTGCAGTCCTTGGTATTTTCTAAACTTGGCAGGCATTCCATTATCAAGCTAGGTAACATCAACAGTGAAATGATGATTGCCTAGTTTGGCAATGCAACGTCTGCAAGAAAATCACCGAGCTCAGAGAACACCAAAGACCCCACAGATCGGTCTATGCCCAGAACGCCATCCTGTTTGCAGTGATAGCTCTGCTTTGTCTTAACCTCCATTAAGCCATTGCAGATAGGGCTTGTTCTCTTAGTCTTCTTCTTGAGCATTATAGAAAGATTGTTTTAGTTTTAGTTTTAAGTAAACTAAACTAACTTAATTTTAGTTTTAATTTATGACAAGCTGTGCAACAAAGATTGGACTGGAGACAAGGATTTGGTTTTTGGTAGAATGGAGGATGTGTCCCTTCCCTTTGACCTCCACAAGTTTTTGTGGGACTGAAAAAAGGAAGATGGGAATTTATGTAGTCATCAATCTTACATGGCACATCTCTGGGTAATATCAAACAATAAAATCAGTAAAAAAACAAACACAAAATACAAACATCAGCAAGAACCTCCCCAGTGTTCAAAATTAGCGGTCACCAACTGATGGTCTGTGAGCAAATTTTGGTGGTCCGCAGAAAAATTATTTGCATTTTTTATATTGCACTAAACCAGGGGCCCTCAAACTATGGCCCCTGGGACAGATACGTACAATGAATGTTTGTGTTGCTCCAGAGAGTCTCCCCTTTTGGGGTCTTTTTGTGTGGATTGGAGGGGGACAGAAATTCCAACTTGGGATCTGCTTTGGCCTCCTGGTGTGGGGCTTTGGTGAAGGCTGGAGGGAAGTGCCACTGGTGGTGAAGAGCCGGAGGACCTTGTTCCAGTGGGATTGCATCATGGCCTGGAACTGGCTGACCATCTCAGCCCGCTGAGCCTCCAGGCACCTGTACCTGGCCTTGCACTCCCACAGGTCTTCCTTCTGCTTGGAAAGCCTATGCTCGTAGTCCTCAGTATGGTGCTTCTACTGAGCCTCCTTCTCGGTCAGATCCAATTTGAACTGAACTGCCAACTCTTTCTCGTGATGACTGCTTAGCTCCAACAACTGCTTCCTGTTGGGGCCCTAAGAAGCCTGGGCGGGGAGGCGAGGAGTGGCTGGGAGGTGAGAGGTGAGTAGAGGCTGGCGAGGTGCCCCTCAATGTGAGAGACATTGAGTTGGCCACACCCACCCAGTCACATGACAACCTAGCCATGCCCACCCACCCACCTGGTCATTAGGCAGATCATATTAGTAGTCCATGGGATTTAAAATTATGAATTTAGTGGTCCCTGAAGTCTGAAAGGTTGGTGACCCCTGTTTCAAATACAACATATCTAAACCAACCGTAGAGCTTTGCTGGGCTCTAGCCTCTCACTAGCCCATGTCTTATGGGAAAAGTCAGATCTTTAAAGCTTTTTTGATGGCTCAGAGGGTAGAGGCTTACTGGATCTCAGAGAGGACGTAGGGAAGCTATGGAGGTTCTGATAGATGACAACATTTAAAGAAAGGACTTGCAACTTGTCCATTCTGTAACAACTAGGAGATCAGGCAGATATCCTCAAGTATAGGTGATACTGTACATTCTCAGCTCATTGTCTATGGAGACACTCAATTATCCAGATCATGATTGTCCCAAAGGTGCCTTTTCAAAAGGCAACTGGACTTTCGTTGTTTTTCTTGAAGACATTTTTCCCCAAATGCCATCACTCTGCTTAACAACTAATTCCCACAATACTGTCAAACAATTTACTAAGACTGGATAAAGATGGATTATAGCAATAGACTTGTATATACTGCTCCACAGTACTTTACAGAACTCTCTGAATGGTTTACAGAGTCAGAATATTGCTCCCAACAGTCTGGATCTTCATTTTCCTGATCTCGTCAGGCTGAGTCAACCTTGAGCAGGTCAGGATAAAACTCCTGACAGTGGGCAGTGTTAGCCTGTAATGCTGCATTCTAACCAGTATGCAACCACAATTCCTATAAAATCAATTGCAATTGATAATACTGATTTGATTATGTAAAGTTGCTTCTGCAGTGTGTGTGTGTGTGTGTGTGTGTGTGTGTGTGTGTAAGGGAAAAATAAGGAAATATCTTGCAGATTGTAGAGATTTGGTAACTGACCATTGTTTGCTTACAGTTTCTGGAATGTTCTTTCTATGTAATGCTCAGAAATGCTGGCTACTGTTATAAGGCAAAAAAAAGATGCAGAACGTGAGTGTTTAGAATTACTTGATCACAGAAATGGATAAAGAATAGTGAGACAATATGCAGAGGGCAATCTAGTTTAACTTTAGATATATTGTCCAACAGATAAAGCTAAATCCGAGACAAGTTTCTTTGCCAACTGAGGAAATTTGTAGGACACTTTAAGGAGGATTGGAGTACAATGGTATCTTTTCAAAATTACATTGGAATTCATCTAATTTATTACTGACAAAGGAAACCCACTGAGCAAATTGAGAACTTATCATTTCATGACTAACAATGCACAGCATCATTAACACTGTCATGTTAACGCTTGGAATATTTAAAAGAAAGGTAGCTTATGAGTATTCTATAATCAGCAGTTGTTATTGTACAGCTTTTTCTAAAGTGCACTTTTGTGGTGCAAAAATGCTTTTTTTTCCTGACAATCAAATATAAATGGATTATAAGACATCAACAACAATTTATGACAAAAGAGCTTACCAAGGAAGTGAAATAAAGCTTACCAAGAAATATCTGGTGTGGGTATTGCAAAAAACTGACAAAACAAGTGACTTGAATAACCCATCACTGCCACATATTCTTCACCATCTGGAGTTAATATTTCTGGGGGAATATCTGAAAAAGCAAGTGTAAATTAGCAAAGAAAGAGTCCAAGTAGGACAACCAGCAGTGATAAAAAAAGAAGTAGCCTTAATCCTAGGGCAAATTTTGTGATTTTGAGCTATACAGTAGTGGCCAAAATTGTGGAAACCTTTTGGGAAAAGTGTATTTTCTAAAACTAGCTAATAACACCATCTTTTTTTGGAGAAGTCCCATAAAATTATATATCAATGGAAAGATAATTTAATCAAGAATGTAATGCAATAACTTTTATGAAGGATTTGCTATTAGAATAGCAGTTACAGTATAAAGAAGAAAAGTGAAACATGTAGAAAAAATGAGATATACAAATTACCACCAGAGAAAAAAATGAGATATACAAAAATTATCACATCAGTTAATACTTAGTTGGGTAACCTTTAGCATGAATTATGGCCTTACAATGTCTTCTCATGGAGTGACCCAAATCTTTTAGTTCTGCAGCTGTTATAATGTGAAACCAAGATTGAATGATTGGTTTTATTAACTGGATTGCATTGCTGGATCGCTTCTGACTAACAAGTTTCTTTCGTCGGCTCCATAGATTTTCAACTGGGTTAAAGTCTGGGCTATTCCCAGGCCATTCCAGCAGTGGAATATGATTATCTTGAAACTCCAAAAAAAAAAAAAAAAAAGTGGTGTTATTAGCCATCAAACCTCAAAAATACACTTTCCCCAAAAGGTTTCCACAATTTTGGCCACTGCTGTATTTTATTCCTTTAAAAAAAAATCTACTTTTTCACAATCATAAACAATGCAAATGGAATTTTAGTAGAAAAGAGGTGAAGGGGAACACTACTGATCTTTCAGACTCTGAAAGGTCTGGATGCTGTAGGAACTTTTGACAGTTTAAGATATGCTAAAGCTTTTCTGAGATTTAATACATTTTTTTTACTTTCCCAATTTCCATCTATATTTAGTAATTCATTAACAAATTTCAGGGATATAATCATAAGAGGAAGCTCTGATCACGAAACAGAAGTTTGGAAGACACCTGCAACTTGCAACAGTATTTAACCCTGATTTATGCTATTGATTAGGATACAAACAAACAAACTATGAATTCAGAGATGGATTCACGCTACATCAAAATTACACTACATTAATTGTAGCTCTTCCAGGTTTTGTTGGGCAATGTTATAAGGAACTTTACCGATATGTCGCCTTTGGTGGCAAAATTGCTTTTGTTTTTGCTTTGCTTTGTTTTCTATTTTCCATTTTTCCTAAGCACATAAAATGATATTCTTAGCAGCTAGGATTCTTATTGTAAAATGCTAGAAAATGAAACACATCTTTTAGTGGATTGATGGGATTTAAAATTGTGGAAAAAATTTTGGTTGAAAAATTGGTTCAGCAATAATTAGCTTTTAAAACCTGACACTGAAGGATATCTTTTATCTCCATCTACCCTTTATTTCTCTCAGCTGTATGAATAGTCTTTTTTTTTTTTACTAGATTAGCATTATTTGTACAAATGCCATTCTAAGCAGAAATATAGACATTGAAAAGTTTTGTTGGTTAACTATGATGACACATGGATCACTCTAATCTAAAAAAATGGATCGATTCTAACTACCATTTTAAATATAATGTACCCTAATACTATCCCCCAGATACTTAGTTACCTTACTCTTAACAGATTAACAGAGTTGGAAGGGACTTGTAGATAGTCTAGTCCAACCCTCACCCAAGCAGGAGACCCTACACTATTTCTGACAGATAGCAGTCCAGTCTTTTCTTGAAAGCCTCCAGTGATGAAGCTCCCACAACTTCCGAAGGCAAGCTGTTCCACTGGTTGATTGCTTTCACTGTCAGAAAATTTCTCCTTATTTCTAGGTTGAATCTCTCCTTGATCAGTTTCCATCCATTATTCCTTGTCTGACCTTCAGGTGCCTTGGAAAACAGGTTGACCCCAGGGGTGAAATCCAGCAGGTTCTGACAGGTTCTGGAGAACTGCTAGCAGAAATTTTGAGCAGTTTGGAAAACCGGTAGCGGAAATTTTGAGTAGTTCGGAGAACTGGCAAATACCACCTCTGGCTGGCCTCAGAGTGGGGTGGGAATGGAGATTTTGCAATATCCTTCCCCTGCCACAGCCACCAAGCCACGGCCACCAAGCCCACAGAACCGGTAGTAAAAAAAAATTGGATTTCACCACTGTTGATCCCCTCCTCTCTGTGACAGCCCCTAAAATATTGGAACATTGCTATCATGTCTCCCCTGGTCCTTCTCTTCACTAGACTAGACTAGCCATGCCCAGTTCCTGTAAACCTTCTTCATATGTTTTAGCCTCCTTGTTAATTGATAATAATTAATATCATTTCTTACATACAAAGACAGATGTAATTAGATCCATGAAGTTCAGCATTTTCCCCTGTGAGAGGCAGTAGATCTCTTCAAACCAAAGTCTTTTCTGATCCTTGTGCATGGCAGGTATGGGCAAAAACCTATTCCCTGTAAAAATAACTTACTGAGGACATCAATGTTTGCTGTGGCCAAGATAGTCCCATGCTTGTTGGTAGCCTCACACTGGTACACTGCAGTGTCACTCAGCTCCAAGTCAGTGATGCTGATCTCTCTTGTTGAAAAAACAGCTCTGCTGGATTTTATTTCGTTATCTGTCAATAAGAGAAGAAAGTGTTACTTACAATAAGAGACTTCCAATTCATCCCTACCACTTTCTCTGGCAAAACCTTAGTCGTACAGAAAAAGTGAGAATGTGTAGAAAACATTCATTAATCTTGCTATTATGTGCTGCATTAAAACAAATTGAATTATGCAAATAATTAGCTTTAAACAATGACATCATGAATAAGACTTATTTTGCTTTAAGCTTAACATTTCTGGATGCATGATTTGTTTATGAATTAGCTGTACCTATAAATACCATGCTGGTGACACATGGTTACTCTTTAAAGCTGAAAACAAACTGCAGATACAGTATCTATTTTCCTAGTAATATAGCATAATGACAAACTGCCTAAACTCGCCGTTGTTTTTGCCCTAGTAGTAAGTTATGAATTATTAACCTTCAATTTCAAATCTAGTTAGAATGGAATAGAATAACAAAGTTGGAAGGGACCTTGGAGGTCTTCTAGTCCAACATTTCAATTATCTCAACCTATCTGAACTTGGAAGCTAAATATGACTCAGCCCTGGCTAATACCAAAATAGAAGACCACTAATGAGTAACAGGCATTATAAACTCCACTTGAAAGTATAAACATTCCCACAAAAAATTCAGGAAAGCCAAAATGATCTTAACAACTGCATGATTCATGTAATAGTTATAGTGATTCACCTAATAGCTATGGCATAAAAAAGTTTATAAAATTACACCCAACTTATTTAACAACCGTCTTGCTTAGAACAGAAATTAAGTCCCCAATTGCAGTTGTAAATTGTGGATGACCTGCATTTCACTTTTTATCTCGGACCAGTCAGGCATCTTCCATAGGGCATGATTAATTCCTATGCTAAATACAATAATCCTCTTAACCAAGATTCTTAGAATTATGCAACCAGAGAGCTGGAAGTTACCTTTGAGGTTATCAAGTCCATCCCTTGCTTATGGCAGTATGTAGTAGAGCGTCTCTGAACAAGGACCATTCAGTATATTTTGGAAGACCGCTGATGAAGGAGACTTCACCACTTTATATAGTAGCTTTTTTTTAGTAGTGTTTTCTTTGTATTATTTGTTTTGTTTATAGAGGAGTACAAAGATATGAATTTGGGGAGAGATTAATAGATACAGCCAATAGTGGGATTCAGCCAGTTTGCACCACTTCGGGACAACCGGTTGTTAACTTTCTGAACAGTTTGGCAAACTGATTGTTGGAAGAAATCATTAGGGCAGAGAACCGGTTGTTAAATTACTTGAATCCCACCACTGGATACAGCTGATATTTTGAGAACATGCAATGGATACTCCAAGAAAATGGCTACTGTAGGACTGGTGAAATTGTTCTCTGACATCTTTTCTAGCTCTCTAGGATATTTATTGTTACCTTTTGCCTTATTGTTCTTTTTCTACGGAGATATGCATATTTAAGAACAAATATTTCAAAATGGTTGTGCAAACTATTTTTTGAATGGACATCTCCTTTTTTTTTTTTTATTTCATTTATGTGCCGCCCTTCTCCGGAGACTCAGGGCGGCTTACAATGCGTTAAGCAATAGCCTTCATACTTTTGTATATTTTTATAAAGTCAGCTTATTGCCCCCACAAACTGGGTCCTCAATTTACCTACCTTAGAAAGGATGGAAGGCTGAGTCGACCTTGAGCCTGGCAAGATTCGAACTTACTTTAATTGCAGACAGCTGGAGTTAAATTACAATGCATTAGTCTGCTGAGCTATCCAGGCTCCTTGATGGCTATTATGCAACAGCATCCATCTAAACAAACCCATCATGCCAAAAAATATGGGAATCCATAGCTGTAGTCAATGATTAGATGGAATTGGATTCTAAATTTGCAGATCAGTTGGTATTATGTGCATTATGGCTGAAGTGACATAGCTTATTATCTATAAGAACGAAAGGAATCCGGACAACTTTATCAAATGATCAATCATGACATCTCTATTACTGGGAAGTTAATAAATAAAACTGATTAATTTAAGCAATCTCACTGTGTTTCTTTCTTACTAGCATTGTCTAATATGGTGGTGTTGGATTTTAAGACACATATCCAATCCATAGGACCAATAACTAGGGATAATGGAAATTTAAATCTTACGCATCTGGAAGCAACACATTGGAAAAGGCCAGTTTATATAGCTGTTTACTATTATTGAACGTTAGGTTTATATCCCATGCTTACCTTCAAGAGGAATGCCGTTCTTTTTCCACTTTATAGTTGGCTCAGGAAAGCCAATAGCTTCACAAAACAGTACAAAACTTCCACCAACACTGAAAACTCCACTTTTTGGTTTGCTTACCCAGGTGGGTGGCTCTGTTGAAAAAGTAATTGCCATTTTAATCACTATTGGGACAACTACCGTAAACACATACCTGCACACCCGTAACATTGATGCAACAGTGTTGATAAGGCGTGCTAACTGCACTTTTCCTTGAAGAAAGATGAATCATGATTTAATCATCTCCTATTAATACACTATAAATTAGACTATTGGAAACTAGAAAGAATGTAAAATGCCAGGGGCTAGGCTTTTGTACAATTGTACTTTGTAGATTATTTTACTTTCTTTCAGGGTTTGTTTGTCTACAGTTCAGAAATGTTCATTTTGACCTATAAAGCTCTAGATAATTTGCAACCAGATTATTTGTTCCTATATTTTATAGCAAAATTGCTATTGAAGAACTCTAAAGGGAAATGAGCTGGTTTCTTTCTACTTTTGGCAAGTAGTAAAGAATCTTTGATACCATCAGAGTTTCAGTTTTATAGAAAGTTGTATACTTAGTTTTTCATTTTAATTTTAAAAAATCTCTCTAGATGTGGTAATGGGTGTAATGATAAATGTTATGTTTAATAACTAGATAAAACACATAAAACATAATGTGAAAAAGAGTTGTAAAGATATTTTTTTTAAAATCAGAAACTGAGCTCTGTGCATATCTTAATTAGAAACAAATGAAATAATGTGAAAGAGGCTGGAAATCTTGGCTGCAAATATTTCACTGAGAAAGAGTTAAAGCAAGAATGAATGAATGAATGAATGAATGAATGAATGAATGAATGAAGAAGGAAGGAAGGAAGGAAGGAAAGGAAGGAAGGAAGGAGGGAAGGAAGGAAGGAAGGAAGGAAGGAAGGAAGGAAGGAAGGAAGGAAGGAAGGAAGGAAGGAAGGAAGGTCCCAAACCATAATCAAGTTATTTCTACTCTACTCTACTCTACTCTACTCTACTCTACTCTACTCTACTCTACTCTACTCTACTCTACTCTACTCTACTCTACTCTACTCTACTCTACTCTGGCAACATTGTACTAAAATCTATCCTACTTTCCTAATAGTTTTGTCCCCCCTCTTCCCCCTCACAAAGAGATGTTATATATCTCAATTTCTCCAACTTCATGCTCATTTCCTCATGTTGCAACCTGTCTGGCATAGCTTTCCTATGAGGGCTGATCAGAAAAAGTTTCATGGAAGGTTCCATGCAGCTCTTTGGTGAATGGAATGTACCACAAATGACAAAAAAATGGTTGCACTTCATCAACTACAGTATGACAAAGGAAATGGAAAAGTTTGTTATTATGATAATGTTATTTTTAGGGATTTCTTTTTTAAAAAAGAAATTATGTTATCAAACTGAATGAGAATATTTCAAAAACCGCAGAAGAAATGTTCAGCCTAGCTGAATTTGTCAGAGTAAAAGAGAAGCAGGGAAAAAAACAAAAGCAACATCATACGGTGTGTGGCTATACTTCCACTAACCAGCAGATGGCACTCATGCAATTGGGAAAAAAAAAAACAGGTTGGCAACACCAAATTCACCAATCCTTCAGTTTTGCTTAACTAGGCTATTTGTTATCCCCCTCTCTCACGACCCCCTCTTCAGAGCTTCACTAATTACACCATGTCTACAATTTATTGATGATCTTTCCAAGGTTTCTATAAAAACTGGAAAAGGAAAAGAGAAAGTCAGCCTCCAACAGCCATTTGAGATTACAAGTGCATAATCAAGTTCATAGACAGGAATTGTTCACTCTCTCAATGACGGTAATAGCTACTATTGCCACCTTTTTACTAAAATTACTAAAATTAGGATTTTCTGTAAGACTTTAACATGAGTCCTATTCTTTCTATTAGTCTGTGATTTATCAGTAGCTGAGGCATAAGATTAGAAACCGTGAGTTCCAGTTCTGCTTTAGTCATGAAAGCCAGCTGAGTGATTTTGGACCATCTCTCTCTCTCTCTCTCTCTCTCTCTCTCTCTCTCTCTCTCTCTCTCCTTCCTTCCCTCCCTCCCTCCCTCCCTCTCTTTCTCTCTCTCTCTCTCTCTGGGGAAAATAGGAAGAGGAAGGCGTATTAGGTATATTCACTGCCTTGAGTTATTTATAAATAGAATAAAGGTGGGAAATAAACAAACAAACAAATAGGAAAGGTTGCCTATCATGCAGAAGTAACTCTAAACAGTATACAACAAGGATTAAATACAACAATTTACTTACAACCATAGGACATAAACATAACCTGACACACCCAAAAAGAACAGAACATCAGAGCTTGCTTAGCCATCTTGCTCAGATGCCTGGAGGAACACCTACAGTAGTGGCCAAAATTGTGGAAACCTTTTGAGAAAAGTGTATTTTCTAAAACTAGCTAATAGCACCACTTTTTTTGGGGGGGGGGAGTAGTACCATAAAATTATGTATCAATGGAAAGATAATTTAATCAAGAATGTAATGTAATAACTTTTATGAAGGATTTGCTATTAGAATAGCATTACAGTATAAAGAAGAAAAGTGAAACACACAGAAAAAACAAGCTGTACAAAAATTATCACCATAAAAAAAACGATATACAAAAATTATCACATCAGTTAATACTTAATTGGGTAACCTTTAGCATGAATTATGGCCTTACAAATATTCCCATGGAGTGAATCAAGTCTTTTAGTTCTGCAGCTGTTATATGTGAAACCAAGATTGAATGATTGCTTTTATTAACTGGGTTTTATTCCTGGGTCGCTTCTGACTAACAAGTTTCTTTAGTTGGCTCCATAGATTTTCAATTGGGTTAAGGTCTGGGCTATTTATTCCCAGGCCATTCCAGCAATGGAATATGATTATCTTGAAAGTGCCCCCAAAAAAGTGATGCGATTAGCCATCAAATCTCAAAAATACACTTTTCCCAAAAGGTTTCCACAATTTTGGCCACTACTGGAGATCTTTAATGGCTAGCATTAAAAATTTTGGACCATCAAGATCTTTAAGATAATACTATTCCATTGGGAAGGTGCTGCCACAATGCAGGCATGACTCTGCATTGTCCACAAAATGTCATTTAATGGAAGATGCCTGGAGTATATCCTCCCTGCTGGAACTGGTGAGGTGAGCAGAGATGATAGGAGATGGTGATCCTACAAATAAACCTGCCCTAATCCAGATAGGGCTCTATAGGTGAACTTGAATCGCACCTGAAAGCCCACTGAGAGGACACATCCCACCTGCCACCAAGTTCTGATATAGTAAAACATTTCTCTCCCTATCAATGGAATCTGAACCCAAATTATAAACCTTACAGGAATAATAGTGCCATTGTTTGGAAGCCCAGTTAGCCAAATAAGGCAGAACTGCAAGATAATAAAGCCAACAGTCTTGAGAATCATGGGTGCCAGATGTGAGTCAATCGTACACTGGTTGGAGTTTTGCCACCCAGAATGAAAACAGAAACACAGCTTACTTGGCAAATTGTTGTTCATGATTGCAACATTGTCTCTTGTTGCTCCAGATTGTTTGATCTGCCTAATGATTTTGACGCCTGATTAAATGCTGACTAGATTTCTAGTTTGATTTCCTTCTGTACTGGTGGTGCCAATGCTTAGGCTAGATTTGGATTACCACTATTTGGATTTGCCACTATTGCAAATTTGGATTACTTTTGTGATTAGTCCCTTGTGGTGAACCGATTACTATAGTTTGCCAGGGATTGATACCTATCTTCAATATCCACACAATACAAGAGATTATTGAATTAACGTTCCAATAAATTTCACTATCCTACTTGGAATTGCCTATATTTTTATATACTATTTTAATAATTCTTAGGTTCTTGAATTATTAAGTTTCCACCAGTTTTATTCTACAAATATAACTGTAAATTACCCACACATAATAATAATTAGAATTAGAGACATATCTACTGCATAACACCCCAGACTTAACAAAAAAAAAGTCCAGATAATAGTTGTGGCAGAACCTGGAAGCAGCAGAACAGAACAGAAGGAAATGGGGTGGGGGGATCACAAAATAAAAAGACTGTCAAATAGAAGTAGAATGACTGTGGCAAAAGAAAACAAAGCAAAGATAGCACGTACAGTAATAGATGCCTTGGGTACAATCCAGTGGTGAAATTCAATTTTTTTTTTTACTACTGGTTCTGTAGCTGTGACTTGATGAGTGTGGTGTGACTTGGTGGGCATGGCAGGGGAAGGATACTGCAAAATCTCCATTCCCACCCCACTCCAGGGGAAGGATACTGCAAAATCCCCATTCCCTCCCCACTCCTGGGGGAAGGATATTGCAAAATCTCCATTCCCATCCCACTCTGGGACCAGCCAGAGGTGGTATTTTCCGGTTCTCCAAACTACACAAAATTTCCACTACCAGTTCTCCAGAACCTGTCAGAACCTGCTGGATTTCATCCGTGGTACAATCCCAAAACCTCTGGAGCATCACTTGAACACCATTGATCAAACTTGACAATATCACCATCCGTCAATCGCAAAAGGCAACTTTACTTTCTGTTGTGGTACCTTTAACACCAGCAGACAACAGCATCTGCCTATCCCAGGTCCTAGGAACTACTAGGAATAGATCAAGGGTGTCAAACTTGCGGCCCATGGGACAGATGCATCATGCGCTGGCCACGGCCACCCCCATTTAGGCAAAGGGGGGAAAAGTCATCATACATCACATGACAACAATGTGATGACACGAGTTTGACATTCCTGCAATAGATGGATAAAAATACCAAATCCAATCTAAGCATCTAAGCTGACTGTGTGACAAACCAAAAGAATAATCCATTATATGTCAGCCCTGGAGGCGATCTTTTTCTTTGGATCTTCAGGGCTGCCACATTTAGTGCTGTGGGAAATTGGGAAGGGGAATTGCATGGAGTTGCAGATATATCTATCCATAACAACATTCTTTTCTCTGGAAGTCAAGGATGTTGAACCTGCACCTGAAGTGGTGTAACTGGGAGGCATTTCCAGTTGGGACAGTGGATTGATTGGACCATGTGATGGATGTGTGGGTGCAGGGGGGAGGG